ATGTCTGAATATGTCCCTTTGTCCTTTTGCCAAATCTGTGCAGCAAAGCCTCAACTTTGACCTCAGTCCAGCTTGCTATTCTCCCAAGTGTGTGCCTACACAGCGAAGCCTAGGGTAGAGAAGAAGCCTCATCTGGGAGGGTGGGCCACCTGTGCATCCCTATTTCTGGCTCTACTGGGGCCCTTGAGGTACTAGGGAAAACCTCCCCTTCTAGTTTAAGCTCCCCAGCTCCCCACCCCCCCACCAGACTGTGCTGAAAACAAAAACTCCCTCCCACCCCACGTCAGTCTTCAGCTAATACTCCCTCCCTTTCATGAAAGTGCTGCCTACAGTCTGTACTTCATCTCCTTCCTAAGTGTCATCCACCCCAGACTGGCTTCTGTTCCACCACACTCCTGCTCACCAAGGCCACCAGCTGATCCCTGTCACAGAGTTCAACAGATTCTGTTGAACACTTCCCTACCAGGGAGCCCTGCCTCTAGGCTACAGGTTTCCCACCCTCTCCCACGAAGCCCACAGCCTCAGCCCTGGCCTCTCCTCCTGCTGCAGGCCTCCTCCACACACTTTCAACCCCTCTCAGGGCCCTGCCATCCATTGCTTCCTCTCTGTTCTCACTGCTGCTCCTGCTTGCTCCCCTGTTCCTCTTTCCTGTTCAAACCCTCCTGGGTCCCCACTGTAGCTGTTGCTGCCCAAACTCCTCCAGGTAGCGTTCCCCTCCACTCTTTCTCAGTGGTACTGAGGTTTGAAATCAGAGCCTTGGGAGAAAAGAAATGCTAGGCAAGTGCTCTACCAATGGCCAGACCTCCAGGCTGGGTATGGTGAGCTGGACTGCCCAGGTCTGGTGATCTGGTGGGCTGAGTCTGGTTTATCCTCAGCTGGCTGCCCCAGCTCTATCTTCTAGTGCCGCTAAAATGACCCCTGCCTCCTTCTTTGTCCCTCCCTTCCTCATTCCCTCCCTCTCATAGGCTCCCAAACTTCAGACCCCTTTCCAGCATCAGTTCTGTGTGCTGTGCCCCAACTGGCTTGAGCCCCAGGATGAGGCCACCTTGCTTGCTGCAGTGCCTCCATTACCCAGAGACTATAAATGGCGAAGGGAGGCATTGGTCGGAGACCACCTAGGTTTGCCTTCTGCCTAGCTGGCTTCACTCGTCTCTTGGATTTGAAGTTGTTGGGTGTCCACTTGTGTGGGCTCCCTCCTCACTTTGGGCTTAGAAAGGAGGGAGGGTAGAGGGTGCTGGAGGGCAGAGCCTACCAAGTTGAGGAGGCCAGGAGTAGCCTCTGTGGTGGCCCCTCCTCCCACGCGCCTCTTTGTCTCACATCTTTATTCAAGACTACAAGTCCCTGTCTCTTCCCAGGACTTCAGAGCTGGACAGATTCTCCTTGATTTCCGAAAGCCACCCCTCCTCAGCCCTGGCTCGCCCTCCCTCCAGCCTCCCCCAACTCGCCTGAGGGGTGCGTGGGCTCTTCTCTCTCCTGCCGTCTGACCAGGCGATCGTCCAGTGCCAGGGGGCTGCAGGAGAGTCGGCCGCGGGCCGGCTTCGAGGCTGGACGCACGACGACGGGGTGGCTTCCCGGCGCCGTGAGAGTCCGGCTCAGCCAACGCTGGGAAGGGGTTCCAGGAGGATGCGCCCCGCGCCCCGCGCCCCACGCAGAACCAACACGCACAGCGCACAGCGGCGCGCGGTTCGGCTCCCGCGGAGCGGCTCCCGGGGCGGAGCCAGGCCTCCTCCCCCGGTCCCCAGCCCCTCTCCCCGCGTGGGAGGCTGACCGCGGCACCGGGAGCCCCCGGAGAGCTGCGTCCCCACGGAGTCCCTCCCACCTCCCGCTCGCGTCCTCCTCCCCTCCGCGCCTCCAGGTTCGCGCTTTGCAGGCAGCCTAGCAAATAACGCCCGGCCGCCAGGCCACACGGTCTGGCCCCCGCCGGCCCCGGGCCCGCGTGCGTTCCGCGAAGCTGCCTGCTGGTCCTGCCTGCAGCTGGAGACGATTCCCTCCGGAGGGGTCTGGCGCTGGGTGGGGAGGAGCAGTACAGAGCTTTCCAGGGCTTGTGTTCAGCACCCCCTCCCTAACCAGCCTCCATGGGCACCCTAGCAAGGGGTGCGGCCGCGGGCACCGAGCCTGTGACTTTATCTCCAGTTGGGGTTGGTTCCAGCACCTGCCAGAGATAGGGAAGGTGGCAGATCCTACAGAGTTGAAGAGCCAGGGGAGGAGGTTCTAGGCTGGGCTGTGTGGCGGCAAAGCTGCTGCACTGACTTCCCAGGTCCTCGAATTGTATCTCTCCCTTCATTCATTCATACGCAACCATTCACAAATGCCACCTGATGGGGCTGTGATGAAGCAGTTTCTACAGCCACCCTCCATTTGCAGATGTGGAAACTCAGGCCCAGCCCCCCGCCCCCAACTTCTGGCCTCAGCTGCTGTTGGCCAGAAACAGGATGGCTCATTTCCACTTCCAGCCAGAATCAGTCATTCAGGTGGGACGGCAGGGTATGCCTTCAAGGGGCTGCCTGGACTAAGCACTCTTCAGCTTTGGCCCACCACTATGTTCTCAGCACCCAGCCTTGCCCAGCCCAGCTACAGCCCACATGTCAGGTGTGGGATTGAAAAGCAGGGATTCCTTTTGAAAGAAGGCTGAAAGAGCTGGGTCCCTGTCCACCCCCACCTTCGTGCTGAAACATTCAAGGGTTCTGTCGTTGCTTAGAGGCAAGGAGTCACTCCTCCAAACACCACTTAACTCTACTACCCTGCCAGCTTGGCTGTGACCTGGGAGAGTGGAGATACACCTGCGGGGGGGGGGGGTTGCAAATAACCATCCACCTGCGTAGAAGGCTTCAGAAAGTCCAGGTAAGGGAAGAAGGGGGACCAAAGGCCCAGGCCTCAAGAGGTCCAAGGATCCTCTGAACCCTCACTCAGATCTTCTCCAGTGGGCATGGCGACTTGCCATTTGTGTTCACTCCTTCATTTATTCCATTTGGATCCCTAGCACCTCTCTGGGCCTGGCTCTGCTAGGCATTATGGGTACCATAACCCTGCCTTGGGGAGGTCATGCCTGGGAGGGGTTGATGGAGAAGGAGAGTTCAGGCTCCACATCCCCAGTTTCCACTCTCCAACATTGGACATCTTTTGGGGGGAACAGAAATGAGGAGTAAATATAAGAGGAAGGGTTTCCTCATTGATCAAAAAGGAGCCAGAGTTGTTGTTTTTGTTGATGATGGTGATGCAGAGGAAAAAGAGGAAGGAAAGGAGACGGAACAGGAGACAGGCAGAAGGGAAGTAGAGAGGAGGGAAATTCAAGGAGAAGGAACCAGTTGGGCTGAAGGAACCAGTTCCCCCTACTGGCCAGCATTGTGGAGTTCAGCCCCTTTATGGAGATTGTCCCACTAGGGTCAGCAAAGTGAATCTTGTACCTGAACAGAGGACTGAGCCTTGGGTGCAGAGATATGGGAGGAGACCTAGATGCAAAGCCTGGCTTCACAACCTTCCCTGCCTGATGAGCCTTTATCCCATAAGACTTCAGCTTTCCTATCTGTACAATGAGATGGATTTTTCTTCTCTGATTATTTTCCCCCAACCTCCATGGGATGCTTTTTGTACTCCCTCCCTCTGTTCTCAAAAGGGAGAAACAGATCCAAGTTACTCAAAGCAGTGAGCTGGAGGATGCCTGGGGCTGTGGAATGACAGCTTAGTCAGAGAAAAGGTTCAGAGAAGACAAAGATCATGGAAGAATGAGATGATTCCTAGCGTCCTCTTCTCAAACCAGGATATGTCTTAGATGTCAGGCAAAACTGTTGTGCCTAGAGATATAGGCGTGCTGAAGAATTTCTTCCTGGACATCGGCACCTGCATTTCCTCATTTCAAACCCTGATGTAGATGAGATCCCTGGCATGGTTCCTTAGGAAAGTCTATGGAGGGTTGGGAAGGTGGCTCAGTGGTAGAGCGCTTGCCTTGCATGCATGAGGCCCTGGGTTTGATTCCTCAGCACCACATAAGCAAAAAGAAAAAAGCCAGAAGTGGCGCTGTGGCTCAAATGGTAGAGTGCTAGCCTTGAGCTGAAGAGCTGAGGGACAGCGTCCAGGCCCAGAGTTCAGGCCCACGACTGGAACCCCCCCCCCAAAAGGAAAGTCTATGGAGATGTTTGCACATTAAATCTAAGCCTCTAATGTTTATTGAATATCTACTGTGTGCTGCTTGACACTAGAGGCTAGAAAAGGAGCGACATTCAGTGGGTTTAAGGAAGCTTAATAATTGTTTTTATGACAAAGCCTTCAAGGTTTCAGGAGAGAGGAGGGGGACCAAGGCTGCTGGCAGAGGATGAGGACAGCATGAAGTTAGGGTGTTCTCTGAGCTGAGCTTTTAAAGAAGGAAGTTACCATGGGCAGAGGGAGCAGGGATGCCTTCGGAATATAAGGCCATGCTTTGAAGCAGACACATGTTAGCTTGTCCTTGGAGCAGGAAAATGATGAGGCAAGGAGACTAGAGTTCATCTGGGATTCAGGGTCTGTTCCCAAGAAATTGCCCAGGATTTGAACATTCTGAACGGATCTGGTTCTAGTCTTCCCTTCCTCTAGAGTCCCAGGGCCAGTCTGTGGGAGCTAGGGACTCAGCTGGAGCTGAGGCTGGATCAGTGCTTCCTATTGCCAAGATGAAGCCAGGGACTGGAGGTGGTGTGGGCGGGGGGCGGGGGGGGGGGGGGGGGGGGAGGGATGATGATTGCTGTTATAAGGCCTTGGACCTCAGATTCCAGAGAAATCATCCAGTAGATCAAAGCTTAGCTATATTCCAGAAAGAAAAGCTAGCTGAAGAGACAAGACATGTGAGCCACAAGGCTGGCAGCAACCCCAGGGCAAGCAGTTCTGATGAGCCTCAGCCAGAGGCAAATGCAGGCCTGCTGTCTTCAGGGTCTGGCCATTCTTCTGGTTTGGATCTTCTAGCTTGGACTCAGGAGGCCTGTGAGATAGAGGTGTCAAGCAGGAAGGGGAGGCCCAGGCAGGGGGGCAGTGCCTCATCCCTCCTCAGCCACACGGCCTCCTGGCTTCAGCTTCTCCAGGGTCCTGCTTACAGTGGACAGGCTGCTACGGGTCCCTGGAGGAGAGATCAGGTTGGGGCTGCCTAAGTACAGATTGCCATGGAGTTGTAGGTCAGGGGAGCCCCAAAAGAACCCAGGATAGGTGTTCCCAGGGCAGAGCTCAGACAGTTGCAGAGAGGGGCCTCCCAGAGGGATAGCTCCCGCCCAGTGGGGACAGGACAGCCCATCAAGAAGATAGCAGGACAGTGCGGAGGAGGGGTAGGACTATGGGGCTGCTGTCTGCCTCCACAACTCTCCCCACCCCCATTTCCTAGTTGTGTGATCTTGAGTATGCTACTTAATCTCCCTGTACTTCGGTTGCCCCATATACAAAATGAAATGATTATTGGCCCCTCCCTCACATGGCTATTATGAAAATTAAGTGAGTTAATATAGAGGAAGTGCTTGAGATAGCATCTGGAATAGGCCTCTGCTGAGTGAGCACTAAGCATCCTGCGGTTGGTGGCAGAAGCTGTGGGCTGGGCTCCCTTGGAGACACTCCTGCCGTGGGATTTTCCAGTGCATGGGGGACAGGATTGGTGAGTGAGATGCCTAGTGTCAGGTGTCAGTTCTGAGAGTTGGATTTCATCATAATGAACAGACTGGGGAAATAAACTAGGGCAGGGTACCTGGAGGAGGGAAAGGGAAAGTGCCACCCCGATCTGTGTCCATGCTGGGTAGACAGGGCATCCCTGAGGACAAACAGGAGATCAAGTCAGCTCCAAGCAAGAAGGGTTCAGACATGGGGAAGAAGTATTCAAACTACCATGCTTTGCTGGGCTGGGAATGCCCCCAAAATTCCACTTGGGGGCTCACATTCTGCTTGGGGCCCCCAGAAATGCCCAGCCAGAGGGAGATGAAAGATGGATTCTGAGATTTCAAGAATTTACCTTCCTTATTGCCATTGGTGCTGGATCTTCCCTCCGCATGATCTGGCCCTGGGTTGGGATGGATTCTCAGGTTCCCTGTGGAGTGAGAGCATCCAAACCATTGGTTACTGAACCATTTCCAAATCAGGTCCAGCTTGGGATGGGAAAGTTCTTCCTGCTTTCCCATCTCTCTTTGCTTTCACTGAATTCCTTAAGGTATCCCATGCACATTGAGTTGAATTGGGAAGGGGACAGTAAAAAAAAAAAAAATGAGTGTTTGGAAAAGATAGCAGGGTTTTGAAGGAAGTGAGGGTCCAAGTGAGAACTAGGGATATGTATGTAAAGCCCAGCAGGACAGAGGGAGTAGGGAGGTGCTCTGTGGGTTGCTGAGATGAGCTGGGAGCTGTTCAGAGGTCCTGGGGCCTCGGGAGATAGAGAGTCATTATGGGCCTCAGGGACAAGAGAAGATGATCTGGTTTGCTTATCTGACCTTGGCTTTGAGGTGATGAAAAGTCTCTCAAGGGAGGACTTCCTAGGTTCAGCCACCTTTGCTCAGGCAGCAGGCTGGATTCTGTTACACTGTAGCCATGGCAACTGCTGCACAACACACACAGATAGCAACTCCAACATACAGCCAGGAGTAGTCTCACATAGACTCACTTAGACTGCACAATCAGCCTTGTACACCTAGGGCTTTGAGCAGTCCTTGGCAGAAGGTCTCTCCTGGGGGAAAGGGGAAAGAGTGCTCACCTAGTGCAGGCAGGATGTGGTCCAAGTTGAACCGAGCCTTCAGGAAGGGGTAGGCGAAGATGAGAAGCCCTGAGAAGAGAGACACAGAGGGGTTCTGTGGTGGGAGAATCTGATCAGTGTGAGATGCAGGAGGCTGTAGGTAAGCTGAGGGCCTGTGGGCTGGATTGTAAGGGTGATAGACGGTACATGGAAGGGCAAAAATGCACTGGATTTGGGCTGTGGATATGCAAATGGAAGCCAGTGCATGTGTACATGAGGTAGCCAATCTAGGTTGGGAGGACTGTGTCTATCTGGGGAAAGGGTTAGAGACTGCGAAGGCCAGGCAAAGAGCAGGTTGGCTACCTTCCTTCTAACTTGGTGGGAATTGGGCTCTACTGACACCACTCCCCCCTCCAGTCTCCAAGGGCCCTCAGAGCTGGCTGAGGTGTGGGGGCCTCCTCAGCAGGGAAATGGCAACCCAGCAGGTCCTGCCGTACCCCCTCTCAGCGCCTTCCTAAACCAAGAGCCTAGCAGAATTTTCAAATACTCATACCCAGAGCTGCTGGCTTGGGGCTTCGGGTTCTAATGTGAGCTTAAGGTGATGGGGTACAAGATGGTACTCAGCATGATTGTGGGGATATCAGTAGTCCTGGCCTGGATGGACAGATAAGAGTCCAGGAGCGGAAGTAAAGGAAACCCTTTAAAGCTGTACTGTTTTTCTGGTCTCATCAACCTGTTCTAAATACTCTGATGCATCCTACCACAAATAGAAGCCCTCTGGGTCTGAAAAGCAGGGTTGAAGGAGAGAAACAGCTCCTTCTTCTTCACACTGTCTCTTCCCTGCCAATGGTCATTCTACCCCAAACCCTAGGGCTGCCTCGCTCCCACCTCCAGCTTCTACTCCCCAACCAGTGCCTCCTGAGCCAGCCTTCCCCTCCATTTCTCTCTTACCTGGCTAGGCTCCTGCTTCCCACAGGAAAGTCTCCCCTCTCCCCCAGCCCAAGCTCCTGCTCACCCAGCCCGGCAGCACCAAGGAAGATCCCGCCCACTGCAGCTGCAGCCTTGGACACAGAGACTCCGATGATGATGCTGCCGGCCAGGAGGCCAAGGGCCACACAGGCCAGCTGCAGGCAGTGGAAGTCTTTGCTGCTGATGGGGATGTCCATGCAGGCCTCTCCAGGTACCTGCTCCAGCTTCCTGGGGATCTCTGTCTTCTTGAATGTCCCTTTGTTACAGCCCTACCTTCAAGATGATTGTTTTTGGGTAGTAAGAGTCCAGGCTGGTAACTCTTGGGTTGATCTGTAATCCTATCTGATAGTTCTTGCAGGGGTCCCCAGGCCCACCTTGACCGGGAGCTTCAGCTTACTCTTCCTTCCCTCAAGACCCCTGGTGTTGGAGGCCACACATGGGACTTCTGTCCAGCTGCATTTCTGCACCGACTGCTTGGGTTCTAGGATCTTCTTCTGCCAGTCTCCACACAGAACCTGGAAAAGCTTGGTCCAATCTCTCCCACCTAGGACATCCTGCCCCCGCTCCCTGCAGCCTGCTACCCAGACTGAGCCTATTAAAGTTTAAAGCAATGAGTGGCAGGGGGTGGGTCACTGGTCTGAGATATGCAGGTTCCTCTGAGGTACAGGTAGCAGGGAGCTGCTGAGTTATTCATGAAGTTGCAATGTGAGCCATGCCTGGGTCTTGAGGGCCTGTTAGGCAGTCAGCCCAAGTTCCACTGTTGGTTTCCATGGGGGAAGAAAGAGTTGATGGCTGTACATAAAGCTCAGGAGCCAGGGATGTTGATGGGATTTCCTGGTCGTTTTGTTCAAGGCTCACTCTTGTCCTTTGGCTTAGAGGCATTCCTGTGCCCTGCACTTGGAGACCTAGAGTGCAGAGCACAGGAATGCCTCTAAGCCAAAGGACAAAAGTGAGACAGGAACTGGGAGAGGGACAAGAAGAGGAGAGGGAGAGGTAATCTCTAAGTCCATTTTTTTTTCCAGTACTAGAGTTTGAACTCAGGGTCTGCATGCTGTTCTTTCCTGCCCCTTTATTCCCCCTCAAGGGTAGTGTTCTACCACTTGAGCCACAGATCCATTTCCAACTTTTTGGTTATTATTATTATTTTTGGTCCAGTTGTGGGAACTCTGGGCCTGGGCACTGTCCCTCAGATCTTCAGTTCAAGGCTAGTGCTCTACCACTTGAGCCACCGCGCCACTTCCGACTTTTTTTTCTTTTTGCTTATGTGGTGCTGAGGAATGGAACCCAGGGCCTCATGCATGCAAGGCAAGCGCTCTACCACTGAGCCACCTTCCCAGCCCAACTTTTTGGTTATTAATTGGAGGTAAAAGTCTCATAGACTTTCCTGCCTGAAGTGGCTTTGAACCATAATTCTCAGATCTCATTCTTTTTTTTTTTTTTGGTTGGTTTGGGGGCTTGAACTCTGGGCCTGGGCGCTGTCCCTGCGCTCTTCAGCTCAAGGTGAGCACTCTACCACTTGAGCCACAGTGCCACTTCCTGCTTCCTAGTGGTTTCTTGGAGATAAGAGTCTCATGGACCTAGCCGGGTGCTGGTGGCTCACGCCTGTAATACTAGCTACTCAGGTGGCGGAAATCTGAAGATCGTGGTTCAAAGCCAGCCTGGGCAGGAAAGACCATGAGACTCCTATCTCCAATGAGACTCCTATCTCCAATAAACCACTAGAAAACTGGTAGTGGCGCTGTAGCTCAAGTGGTAGAGCATTCGCCTTGAGCTGAAGAGCGCAGGGACAGCGCCCAGGCCCAAGCTCCATGACCGACAAAAAAAAAAAAAGAATCTCATGGACTTTCCTGCCTGGGCTGGCTTTGAACCATGATTCTCAGATCTCAGCCTCCTGAGTTGCTAGGATTACAGGCGTGAGTGACTGTCGCCCGGCTTCAGATCTCATTCTTGAGTCACTGATTTACTGATGTCCAGCTTCAAGTCCACTTTTTTTTTTTTGTCAATAGTGGGGCATGAACTCTAGGCCTGGGCACTGTCCCTGGGCTCTTTAGCTCAAGGTTAGTACTCTACCATTTGAGCCACAGGGCCACTTCCCGTTTTCTGTCAGGTTAATTGGAGATAAGAGTCTCAGAGACTTTCCTGCCTGGGCTGGCTTTGAACCTTGATCTTCAGATCTCAGCCTCCTGAGTAGCTAGAATGACAGGCGTGAGCCACCAGCTCTGAGGCTATCCCTCCTCTTCCATCCTAGGCACAGCTGGTTGGGGGGGGGAGTGGCTTGTGTCTTAGTTTGAGGATTGATCTTACAGGACCCTTTTTTCCTAAGGTAGGCTTGGCAATCATTACTCTTCTAGTTGCCAGTGGGATAAGAGGGTGAACCCTTCCAGTTGTCCTGGAAATCCCTGGCAGGGAGCTGGCGGAGAAGAGCAGTGATGGTGGGTAAGAACTGGAAAGAGAAACTGGGAGGCTGGACATCAGGAGGTTTAGAACAGGTAGCTGGCACATGGCTACTACTTTCTGACCTTCTGGCCTGGATATCTCCACCCAGCCTGGATGACCTACTTGTAGATATACCAACCCAAGATCGGGCAATGGTAACCCAACCCAGTCTAGTCCTGATCCCTGAAGCCAGATCCTAGTTCCAGCTTTCATCATTAATTGCATTCTCTGGCCTTGAATCAGGGCCTTCCCAGTCCTAGAACATGCCCTGGCCTTAGTCCTCAGCTGACACAATCCCAGCATCCCATCACCCTGCTCAGAATCCTGTCACTGATCTCACCAACCTCTTTTTGGTCGGTCCTTCTCTCACCATTACAACTGCAGTCTCATCCAAGCTCTAGATATCCTGCCTGCACAGCTGTGTGCCCTCCCTCCCCCTCCCTGCTGAGTGTCCACCAGGTCCCTGCTGTTGGAAACGCCTTCCTGGTCCAGCAGGATATGCGTGGCCAGCTGTCTTTGAGCAGCCTTCCAGATCATGCCTGAGCTGCCCACTGCGGCTCTGTGATTCCACATGAAGGATTTATTCCCTATTCTTGTTCTGTTTCTTCTGTAGACTATGAGCCCTTCATGGCAGGCTGGGGTAGTAAACTCCACAGAATGCTATGGGCAAGGTATCTGGACATAGGACAGAAATATAGAGAGGGTTTGGACCTGCATGACCACTTGGGATTGGTAAAGAGGAGGGTTGTGGGCATGGAAAAAAAAAACCCTCTGTCTCTGTCAACAGTTTTCCACCAGGTACTCATGGCTCATGCCTGTAATCCTAGCTACTCAGGAGGCTGAGATCTGAGGATCATGGTTCAAAGCCTGGCAGGAAAGTCTGTGAGATTCTTATGTCCAATTAACCACAAGAAAACTGGAAGTGGTGCTGTGGCTCAAAGTGGTAGTTAGTTCTGAGCAAAAAGAGCTCAGGGACAGTGTCCAGGCCCTGAGTTCAAGCCCCATGACCAACAAAAATCAAGCAAATGAACAGTCTTCCTTTGTGGAACAGAGTGCTAAGAAAGCTCGGGATTACCTGAAGGAAGGGTCAGCCAGGAAAGAGGGTGATACAGAGCTTGGATGAGCATTCAGGACCCCTTAAAGAGAAAGCCCCTAGAATTAGGCATTCCATAGGTACAGCTGACCCTTTTCCTCTAATTAGGCATCAGATTATAGCCTACATCTCTGTCACATGTAACCAATCAAGCACTGACTAGTTCTAGAAGGGGTTGCTGAAGTGTCCATGAAAATGTTCTCCTCAGAGTGGCGGTTTGGGAATCTGAATACCCTGCTTGATGCTCTGCCTCCTATTCTCCCTGAAGTGTTAGTTGGCATCGCTCCAGGTCATGCGGGATCTGTGGTGGTTCGTCAGCCATACAAGGCTGAGGGCCGCTCTCCCACACATCAGCCAGAGAGAACTTCCTGGGGCCATGCTTCCGTCATGCACTACACAACTTGCTGTGATCCTGTGAGTGGGACTGGGGTGCAGAGGCTGGAGGCCAAGAGCTCTGAGCTCTGTGAATTCCAGATTCCACAGGTCCCTGACCTCCAAAAATTGGAAAACATTTTTTTTTTGTCGGTCATGGGGCCTGAACTCTGGGCCTGGGCGCTGTCCCTCAGCTCTTCAGCTCAAGGCTAACACTCTACCACTTGAGCTACAGTGCTACTTCTGGCTTTTTCTGCTTATGTGGTGCTGAGGAATCGAACCCAGGGCCTCATGCATACAAGGTAAGCACTCTACCACTGAACCATCTTCCCAGCCCTGGAAGCCAAATTTACATTTGTGGGGTTTTTTTTGTCACTATAAATCCCTAAAGGCATAGAAACAATTGTGTGATTATCAAACCAGGTGCTAGTCCAGAATCCTCAGTTGAATTCCTGTGTCTAGGTTCCTGCTCAGTTGGGAAGTTCTCTAGCATAGCTCTCCCCTGCATTTCTACATTATCTTATTTGAGGTTAAAATATTTGGCTTACTTATCTTACTGTATTTCATCTTTCTTTTTTTTTTTTTGCTCATGGTGGGGCTTGAACTCAGCTTCCTAGGCACTGTCCCTGAACTTTTTCACACAAAGCTAGCACTCTACCACACTGAGCAACAGCTCCACTTCTGGTTTTCTGGTGGTTAACTGGAGATATGAGTCTCACAGATTTTCTTGCCCTGGTGGGCTTTGAACCATGATCCTCAGATCTCTGCCTCTTGAGTTGCACAGGCTTAATCAGTGCCTGGCTTAATCATTTTCTATTGCTATGACAACATATGTGAGGCTGGAATACTTTACAAAGCAAGAGAGGTTTATTTAGTTCACAGTTGGGGGTCCAAGTCCAAAATTAGGTGACCTTACCCATTGGCCCCTGGTGAAGGCCTCATGAGGGATGGATCATGGTAGATGGCATTCCAAAGGCAAGAGCACATGTGAGAACAAGAAATCACATGACAAGACAGTGGGGAGAAAGTGATCTTGCTTTTAAAAAATTTTAACAGGGGCTGGGAAGGTGGCTCAGTGGTAGAGCGCTTGCCTTGCATGCCTGAGGCCCTGGGTTCAATTCCTCAGCACCATGTAAGCAAAAAGAAAAAAGCCAGAAGTGGCGCTGTGGCTCAAGTGGTAGTGTGCTAGCCTTGAGCTGAAGAGCTGAGGGACAGCATCCAGGCCCAGAGTTCAGGCCCCACGATTGGACCAAAAACAAAAACAAAACAAATAAAAAATTTTAACAACCAAGCCTCATAAAAACTCACTTAAGTAACCAGCACCAATCCCTTCTAAAGAATGCTTCTTCCCAATGCCTTAATTAACATGCACTGGGCCATATCTCTTCAAGGTCCCTCCCATCATGGCCATACTGTGGACCGGTGTTCTAACACATGAGCGCTCCCTCAGGAGACACACTCACACCGTGTCTAAATCATAGCATCTACTGGTAGCATTGACAGGTGACATCATTTAAGACTGTAATGACTGCCGCTCCACTGATTCCAAATGTAGTGAGAGACGTCCATTTTTTCCTCCTGAAGAAGAAAACACTTGTTGGTCTCTGGTTCTCACAGTAAAGGAGAGTGAGTTCAAGGAAGTTCTGTGTGTGGGCAGTTCTGAGGTGGTGGCCCAAGGCTCTGGAGCCCCATGGGTTCCCAGGCACAGAGCCCTCTTCTCAGGAGCCTGGGTCCTCCTGGAGTCTTAGGCCATAGGCATATGTAAGCTTCTACCACAGAATCTCCTGTCTTCTGATAAGGCATGGGCTGAAGGATGTCTCCCTGTGCACCTTCTGTCCAAGTGTAGTGTGAAGGCGGGAGGAGTGGGTGACCAGGTCTCAGCTTGGTTTGGTTCTGTTTATTTTCCTTCAGGGGTGAGAGCCCTGGAACAGAGTGTGATTAATTCAACATTTCCCCCCAGGGGCGGGGGATGCTGAAGTCAGGGAAGTGGCTTCCAAGGCAACTGCTACCATGGCAACAAAAGTGTTAGCCTTGGTGGGGGGACCTTGCTTTCTAGGCCCCCTCCAGACCTGAAGCAGCGGGAGCAGTTGGCATGGGATCAAGGCCTTGCTGTTTATGAAGATGGCTCTAGTGAGAGCCAGTGGGCCAGGAGAGAAAGTGGTCCCCCAGTGCTCAGGAAGGTAGACACACAGAGGCACAAAGTCTTGATCATCTCTGTGGCTGGAAATACTTGGACAGGAGTCCTCAAGGTCTAGAGCTGTGACCAAGGCCTGCTAGCTGGATTTGAGGAATGAAGTCTGAGGTCTGAGATATTCCAGCTAGCTGGAAGCCACTCTCTTCTTCTAAGGTCCAGCCAAGTGGGAACCCTGGAGCTGTGGGACTGGCTTCCAGCACCGCAAATCCCATGTCTTACTCAAGGGCCTCCCTCAGTACATCTGCCATGTCTGCCTCTTTCCAGAAGAACCCAGGTCTTTTGGTCCCCAAGAACAAGCTCTTCCTCTGGGGCAAAGGGCTCCCTGAGCAGAAAGAAGGGAAAATTCATTTCCATCTCTGGGTCTGTGGCTTGAATAATTCTGTTCCAGGAGATAACAGATGGAGCTGAAGCCATGATGGGTAACACTGTAGAGCACCTACTATGTGTGTACTGGATCCACACGCAGTACTTTTACTACTTTGCAGTTTTCTCAGTAACACCACGAGCCAGGCACTGTCATCCTTTTTGATGGCTGAACAAACTGAGAATCAGAGATGAGCTAACTTGTGTAAGGTCCAGAGCTAGGAAGAAGCGGGGCTGGATTTGGAACTGGGGAATCAAGGCCCAGGGTCTTAAGGAATTCTATTTCTAGCATTCATTCTTAGCTGTATATCCCCAGGCAAATTATGTTTCCTGTCTTTTCTTTTCTTTTCTTTTCATGTTAAGTGTGTGTGTATGTGTGGGTCAAGTAATAGTATCTACCTCATTGGACTGTTAAAATTAAACACCACTCATAAACTTCTTAGAATGTACCTGTTAGTAAGTGTACAACAAAACTAGCCAAACCAAAGGATCCACAGCAGCATTTATGCAAGGCTGTGCAGAGGAGGGGGCATTGCTGCATGGACCAGGGAGAGAAGATAGGTGGGTGGGCACAGCACATGAGAACTGGGTATGCGTGTGGAGGGCTGTGAGGATATGGGGTGTGTCTGTGGCAGAGTACTTGATCCAGATGACCACTTTAAGTCACATTTCTTTTGGGCTAACCTGGGGAACTGACCAGCCTGGTTCTAGGTCCAGAAGCCTCAGCTTCTGCAGGTCTACTTTTCTACCTGACCTCACTTCAGGGGCATGAAGCTTTAGGCATGACGGGGTATAAGGCTTGTTATGAAGGGAGGACCATCAGCAATGTCATCACCCATGTGCAGGCATTTGAGGGACCTAGGACCTGAGCCCATAGTGAAGAGCCCCCAAATCTCCTTGCCACACCTCCTTGGTGATTTGTAAAGGTCCTTATCTGGCTCTGGGATGATTCCATGGACCTGTGCGTATAGACGTCCTTCCAGCTGATGTCCATGGAGGCTGTGGGAAGGGGTACCATTTATCCTTGTTGCTAACTCTTAACAGGAAAAGGGTAGTCCTGGATACAACAGCTCCTCAATCAAGGCTTAGTAATGCTTTAGACAGAGGGGACATTTGTTCCTGCATGGCGTGGGTAGAGGGGACATTGAAGTCTGTGTAATGGTTGCTGACAGCTAGTCCACCTTTTGATGAAGAGCCCTAAAAAGCAGTCTGTTTCTTTCTCATTTCTAGGTCTTGGCAGATGTGATTGATACATGCTTGATAATTTTTCTTTTCTTATGTTAAAACAGAAAAGTGAATATCTCCTTTACTGTGCCATTTCCTTTTCTTCTTCTTCTTCTGGCACTAGGGTTTGAATTCAGGGCCTCTTTGTTCACTCAGTTTGCTTGCTCATGGCTACCACACCTTACCCCCCCCCTCGCTCCCCATCCCCTGCCCAGTGATGAGGAGTTTATTCTTCAGCCAGAAAATAAGGAAAACCTGAAGAGGGGGAATAGCTCACAGACATGTTTCTCATCTAAGGAATAGATTCCTTTTAAGACTAAGGGAAAAAGAAATTTTAACTAATGAGTAGGATTAACAACTTTTTTTCAGGAAAGGAGTAAACAACCAGTCCACATGCATCCTTTATGGTTAAACTGTGTGTTGCCAAGTCTCATTCTGCCTTATAGCAGCAATTGAGGCCCCAGGTGTCTGTGGCTGCCTAGGTGAGGATCTTTTTTTTTTTTTTGGGTCCGGTCATGGGGCCTGAACTCTGGGCCTGGGCACTATCCCTCAGCTCTTCAGCTCAAGGCTAGTGCTCTACCACTTGAGCCACAGAACCACTTCCGGCTTTTTTCTTTTTGCTTATGTGGTGCTGGGGAATCGAACCCAGGGCCTCCGGCATGCAAGGCAAGCGCTCTACCACTGAGCCACCTTCCCAGCTCCATAGGTGAGGATCTTGTCTTGAACAGATCACTGTCTAGCACAAGGGATAACTCCCATGATTTGAGAAATCATTTGCCTGTGACACCATGGTGCATAGCTTTCAAGTCCACTCACAGCCTAATGCTACCTGGAGCATGGCCAGCCATAGTCTGGGTGCTTCAAAAAAAAATTTTTTTTTTTTTTTTGCCAGTCCTAGGGCTTGAACTCAGGTCTTGGGCACTGTCCCTGAGCTGCTTATTTGCTCAAGGCTAGCACTCTACCACTTGAGTCACAGTGCCACTTCTGGCTTTTTCTGTTTCCGTGGTACTGAGGAATCAAACCCAGGGCTTCATGAATGCGAGGCAAGTACTCTACTGCTAAGCCACATTCCCAGCCCAGTCTGGGTGCTTCAGTCCCAGTCACGTTAGTCACTCAGCTACTAAATTAAACCCAGTGACCATTTTTTCATACCAGGTCTTTGTTACCTTCTCTCTGATGCCTCCTCAGATGATGATTCAGTGCTCAGAGGATCACAGAACCAACCTTGACCTACAGTGATGCTGACTTCAGAATGGTTTCAGATGGTTACCCCTTCTCAATAAAGGGAAGTCAGTGTTCTCTCAGCACTGAGCATGGGCAAGTGTCCTCACAACAACCGGCTAGGTGTGCTTAATCCCACATGTGGAAGGGAAGATGAAGTCCAAGTGGTTAAGTGACCCCTGATCTCATAATTCCATAGCCTCTTAGTGCTTCACACTCAAGTTCCAGCCCAATCTAGTTTTGAAACAAAAATCCTCCAGGTCTCAGCCTCTGAAGTAGCTAGGATTATAGGCATGAGCCATTGGAACCCAGACTTAATATTACTTTGTGGATCAGAGGTAGGATTTACACGCAGCATTTACATTATATCTGGAGGAGAGGTCCTTACAAGGGATCTTGGCGCCCTACCTTGCCAGGTTGAGGCTTAAGTCTTCAGGTCTGTAGGTAAAAAAAAGACCAATAAGGGAGCTCTGGCTAGAATTTAAAATAGTTTTATTAAAATAAGCAAAATGTAGTGGCTATGGTTATATTTTCTTTATGTAACTCAACAGCTTATCTGACAATGGCCACACTTTCATTCTCCAGGGCAGCAAGCAATGGGTCAGATCAGGGCAGTGGGCTGCCTTCCATTTGGCAAAGTGCTCCATCTATCTGGACCTGCATCATTCTCCACACAGGCCCCAGGGGACAGCAGGAGTGGACACCCACACTGTCTCCAAAGGGCTCATCATAGTAACAACTTAAAACCAGTTCAATTGTGGGGAGGAGCTGATTAAAACCTAAGTCTGCTCTGTGAAGTCCATGGGCTTGCAGCGAAGTTAAAATGTTCCTGTTTGCTGGAAAAACATGGTTAAAAGAACAAATACTTAAAAAAAAAAAAGAAGTAATACTGACTTTAGCAGCAGTCCCAAACAAGGAAGAGGATGATAAATGAGGAACACATTTTGGTCACGGCAAAGAAAGATTATGTGCTTCTCCATGCTACAGACTGGAAGACTGATCTGCCCTCTGAGGAAGGGGGGCTCCATGCCCTTCCTGAATTGAGGGGATGGCTTCATTCAGCCAAAGAGGACAGGCAAAGAGGACATCCAGAGGACAGAGGAAGGGGGAAGGACCGTCAGGAAGGTGACAGTGCAGAGAAGCACACGGGTCCAGCAGCCCCTGTCAGCTTCTTGAAAGCCGGCTCCCTGGAGGCTGCTGAGGCCCCAGCAGCCCAGACACAGCTCTGCTGCAGGCTGGATGGGGTCTGCAGGCAAGTGAGCAGGTGGAGCCCAGCAAAGAGATGACCCTGCTGTAGGCGATTATGCAAAGTGACAAGTGATTGCTTTCCATTTCAAAGACAACCCCTTTGGAAAAAGCTTTTTCCTACAAGGACCCTGGGGAGATGGGGGTTGTGTGGGAACCCCAGGGCCTTTGTGGATAGGAAAAGCTAGACTGGAGTGGCAGAGCAGCCCCTCAGCTTGCTCACAGACTTTGGCCTCGCAGGTTCCGGGAGTGCAAGGCCTGCACAGGTCTGGGTCTAGGAGGTGTGGCTGGAGTGGTTGAGTCCTGTAGGTGTTGGGCATGGCTTAGCATCTCCACCACGGCCTGCTTGGGCCAGGGCCCGCCGGCGGGCCAGGCGAGACTTGGAGGGAGGGGAGAGCTTCATGGAGCAGAGCCCCTTAATCAGGGCCTCCTGCTCCTCAGCCAGTTCATTCTCCTCATGCTGGGACAGCTGGCGGTTAAGGGCGATGGCTTCAGCCGCAAAGAGTGTCAGATCCATGGTGCTGCTGTTTCTGCAGGGAACAGAAAAGGCACAGAGAAGAGGGAAGCAGAACCTAGGGTCAGCCAGGCCAACTCTGGGATATGCCCACTCACTGCTGGGTTCTATACTCCCAGGAAGATTTTCCTGAGACACCAGCTACTCTTTCCAAAGCAGCTCGTGTATCGGGTTGGAACCTTGGTTGACTGAAACTAAAATGGTCTTTGAGCTTCAAAGGCCACACTGGCTGGGCTGCACACACAGGACAAACTGCCCCCTTTCCCCAGAGCACCCTCCTCTAGGTCCCACCACTCTGCACACAGCTCTTCCTGAGACAGCAGTGACACTAACTCTCCTGGTAGGGCAGGATGCTATGAAGCAGGGACTGTGTATTTATGTCAATGTCCTCAGAACCCAGGACATGGCAAACCTATGACAAACACTTTGGGTCTGCCTAATCAATCACCTAAGGGGAATCTGAAGTTAGGTACTTGAAGGCATGAGGAACAGCTGGGAGTCTGGTAGGAACCCTCGCTGGGCAGCAGGGGCAAACAAACAGACTATGCAGCCTAAAACTTCCCTGTGTAACTCCTAAAAGCTAGTTAAGAGGCTGGATCCCTAGAGATTTCCCATAAGGCTGAGCCCCAGTCATACAGTGTGGTCTCAGAGATTATATCATCCAGTGTTGTCATAGCTGTCTTGATTTAAGTACTCTATGATGTTTGCACATGATGAAATTGCATTTTTTTCTTTTTCCTTTTTTTGGTGCTGGAGGTCAAATACTACAGCCTCATGCATGCTTACACCTCTGGCACTAGGAAATCACATTTCAAACTACACATTTCTCAGGATGTATTCCCATCATGATCAAGGTACTGAACACAAAAAGCTCTTAGCACCATGTCAGATGTGTTGTAAATATTTAAGACATGGAGGCCAGCATCATTACTGTCTGTCTACTAATGCATGTGACAACTAGTCCCTCTACCTATATTGCCTATACACCCCTGGTGAATAACCCACAGGTAAAGTCTGTCTGGATTATGAATGGTGCCTGGAAGTTACATTCAAAGGGGCATACAAAACAAGTCTTTGTCCTGAAAATACTGCAAGTCCTTAAAGGTGCCAGCAAAGAAAACAATTTAGGTATAGAAAACCAAGGGAGAGAACTACCTGGAGGGAAGAAAGAGAGAACAGGAGGTAGAGAAGGGGCCAGGGGACCTCTCCATTAAAGGGCACTTGAGCCCAAGGATGGGCTCTCTGTCCCCCACCTCCATTGTGATACGGTTAAGGGCTTGAAGGAAAGTAAAAGCCAAGGAGCAAGGGCGCTGGTGTGATTGGAGCATTTACCTCTGGAGGACTTGCGGCGTGGGGAGTCCCCTTTCTGGAGCTTGCTAGAATGGGAAGGACAGATTGTGGGTAAGTGCTGCTCCTTCCTTCCAAGGGCTACCCCCACCCCAGGCCAGCACAGAGCAGACAAATGATTACACTACAGGCACTGGCCCAGTGTGCCCAGTGTGGAACTTGGCCATGCTTGTCTGCAGGGGTAGAGCTTCCAATGAGAGAAAAAGAAAGGTTCACTCTGAAGTCACAGCCACTTCTGCACAGACAAACTTCTTTTTTCTGGCAAAGTCCCAACTGCCCTCCAAGATCCAGCTAAAGGGTCACTTCCTTTTGGGGAACAGCTCCCTTCCCTGTCATAGTCCCAAGCAGAGGTGAGGCCTTGGCCCTTTGAGCCCTTAGAACTTTAACTTTCTTTTTTTTTGGGGGGGGGGTCCGGTCGTGGGGCCTGAACTCTGGGCCTGGGCACTGTCCCTCAGTTCTTCAGCTCAAGGCTAGCTCTCTACCACTTGAGCCACTGTGCCACTTCCGGCTGTTTTCTTTTTGCTTACAAGGTGCTGAGGAATTGAACCCAGGGCCTGATGCATGCAAGGCAAGCGCTCTACCACTGAGCCACCTTCCCAGCCCCGAATTTTAACTTTCTACATGTATTCGCCATATCAATTCACAACTGTCTCTCTGTCCACTACGAGTGTGACGATGGACTTGGATCTTAATTGCCTCTGCAGCTCATCTTTGACATACAGTGGTGCTTACTCTTGGGTGTTTAGGAATTAGCCACTGAGATATTCTGGTGCCCCACCTGTGCCAATTTTGTATTAGAAGATGGAACCACAAGCCTTTGGTGACACCATGACGCTGCTGCCTAGGGTGGATGTGGCTGCCAGTGGTGAGACATGTCAAATCCCTGGAGGGCTTATGGCCAAAGTTAAAGCCAAGTGTTTGGAAGCAAGGGCTCTGCTAGGGCTTGGTGGGGGAGTAAGTTTACTGCGTGCACAGCAAGGGAGCTACTATCTCACCTCCCTCAAACTGGCGGCAGCCATTCAGGCTGGTGATTGGCTCTTGCTAGGACGAGAGCTTCCTCATGGCCACACCACAGGCCTGCAGAGGTGGCATGCACTCCAGCCCATACTCACCCCCTGCACCCATGGGTGCTGCAGAACTTGGGCCGCACTGAGTCTTTGCTTTGCATCTCGAACCAGGAGCTTGGAGATGAGGTCCTTTGCTTCACTGGAGATGTGAGCCCAGTCCTTGTCAGGAAACTCATACTTGCCCTCCTGGATACTCTCAAAGAGCTTGTTCTGGGGAAAGATTCTTCATGAGTCACACTGGCTGGGGATGGGCTGGATGAACCTGTCATTGATTTGAGCATTCTTGTTCCAACTAACCTCATTTGTAGCTGTTGCTCATGGCTTGAAGTCACTATAGATGGGGACCCCTTCTGAGAACCCTCCCCCCCATTCTCCCCTAAGTCATCAAGCAATTCAGAATGCTCTTGGTAGGCCAGGGTGGCTATGCCACTTAGAGGGCTGTTAAGAGAATAATACCATAAAATAAAACCTTTCTTCAGCCCTTTAGTGAGGTCTTACTTCAAACTGGCTTCTGGCAACTTCCTAAGCCTTGACCCTAACTACCGACAACCTGTTTCTCTCTTCTTCCCTGTATACATGCAGCCGTTTCACACCTCCATGTTTGCCCATGCCATTCCTACTTCTCTTTTTAATTGTAATATTAGAAAGGTGATGTACAGAGGGGTTACAGTTACATAAGCCAGGTGAAGGATATCTTTCTTTCTTTCTTTTGGGCAGTTGAGGGGCTTGAACTCAGGGACCTAGTTGCTGTCCCTTAGTTCTTCTGCTCCACCACTTTGAACCTCAGTGCCACTTCTAGTTTTCTGGTGGTTAATTGGAGATAAGAGATAAGATTACAGACTTTCCTGCCTGGGTTGGCTTTGAACAGTGATCCTCAGATCTCAGCTTCTTGAGTAGCTAGGATTACAGGTGTGAGCCACCAGCACTGGCCAAGAGTACATTTCTTTTTGGACAATGTCACCTCTTCCCTCGCTCTCTCCCAGTTTTTCCCTCCCATCCCCATTCTTAAGTTGCACAGTACACTTTCAACATAGTGTCCAGTGAGTATCATTGCTGCACTTGTTCACCCTTTGTCTCTCCATTTCTGTACCATTCTTACTTTTTCCTTGTCCTTCTTCCCCTGGGCAAGACATCTATTTCAAAGTCTACTTAGCTATGCTCTCTTCTCCAGTAATCTTCCCTGAACTTCTAATAGGGCCGAGTGTCAATCTCTGTTTTGTCTGTGGCTGCTCTGACAGAAGAGGCGGGAGCCCTGCAAACCTCTTCCAGATCAGGAAAAATCTCCTAGTACAGTCCTGCTGGGCACCCCACGGCCACCCTGATCCCTTACGGCTTCACAGTGGATCCTGGGGGTGTGCTTACCTGGCACACCCTGCACACCTCTCCTCGGTCCCAGCCACAGTCAGCTCCACAGTGTCCCACAAAGGGGGGGTAGCCACTCAGCATGATGTACAGGACCACACCCAGGCTCCACAGGTCACAGCGCTTGTCGTAGAAAGTGGCCTCATCTCTGAAGACCTCTACCACCTCAGGGGCCATGTACTCTGCAGAGCCACACTGTGGGTCAGGGTTCAGGGAAGGAGAGATGGCACAGAAGAGAGATGAGTCCAAGGGAGAAGGGATAGCAAAGTGCAGAGTATAAACATAACACAGGATAGATGGAGTCAGAGAAAGGGGAGGGGTAATCTGGACAACCAATATACTGGCCTGATCAAGAAAGGCTTAAACTGAGCCCACCCTGCCCCCTGGTGCACATGGCCAGGTCCAAGTCACCTTCTTGTTTTTTAAGGTACTTCTCTAATGGAAGAACCCCTGAACAAGAAGCCCAGGACCCCTTTCCTGCCTCAGCTCTCCATAATGAACCCTGCATCTGTTCTGGGAGAGAGGCCCATAGAAATCCAACTCTTTCCAGCAAAGACTTGTTAAAGTGGCTGCCCAGGCTTCTTGCTAGCTTGGGAGCAAGGAAGCATGGGATTTAAAATTAAGAGACAATTAAAGCTAGAAGACCTCTGATGACAAGAACAATGCTGCCACCCCTCCCATCCACAGGGAGAAAGGCAGGGCCCAGGCTGGGACACGGCACAGCAGTGCCAGAGCCAGGCCAGGGTGCAAAACTGCCCTCCTGTCCTTGCCCAGAAAACCCCTGAGAGGAATGAATCACATTCGTTTTTGTTATCCTCTTCATTATTTCAGGCTCATCGACAAGTAGCTCTGCACTCCTACCCCACAAAAGGAATTTGATTGGAAGGCAGTGAATGCTCTCAAAAAGGATATTTTCTTTGCTATTGGCAATTAGATCTAATTAATGATTTTGAGAACAAGGTACCTACCCTAGTGTGTTAGAAGCTAATACAGAAGCATTCTAATAATGTTGCTTAGAGTAAGATGCAATAGAGCATGTTTAAAGGCATGCTCTTTAACAAAGGCTATTAGGGAAAAAAATCACTTATGAAGCATGCAAATCTCAAAAGAATTATCCTAATTATAGTAATATCAAGTAAGTACAAGACATATATTAGGAAGAAGCAGCTTCCAGCAGTACAATCTGGGTGTGAAATATGAAGTGGGATGAGTAAGTAACAGGACCAGCAATCCTATGTGGAGGTAGCCTGGGGCCAGATTCACCACAGAGACTATGGACTTCCCCGTATGGGGTGGATAGCACCCATCCTCTACCACCATGGGGGATGCCACTATACAAGAGGGAATGGAACTCTCCTATCCATGTGTCATGTGCTGACCAGGCTGGAAGTCATCTGTTTTCATCTGGGAGACCAGTTTCAAGTCTAAGCTCCAGGGCAGGTTTGGGAGCTACTGGTACAGAGCACTGAAGCAATAGGACAATTCCAGAGCCAGAGAATCACACAGGCCTGGGATACACTTGGTTTTCCTTCTTCATCCCTCTGTTACAGATGCCACAGCTTTGGCTGGGCATGCCACATGCCCAGCAACCTAGCAGGAAGGCCCGGGAGGAAGTGGTTGGTCACACATACCGGAGTGGTTAGCTCTGGCGTGGTTATAGGAGTGCAGGAGTTGTTCAGTTTTACCCCACTACCCAAGTCGAAGTCACATATTTTCACCAGAGACACCTGCACAGAAAAACAGAAATAAGAGGCCACAGATTAAGTGGGCACTAGTGGCTCACGCCTGTAATCCAGCTACTCAGGAGTCTGAGATCTGAGGACCACAGTTCAAAGCCAGCCCAGGCAGGAAAGGCTGTGAGACACTTATCTCAAATTAGCCACCTAAAAACGGAAAGGTAAGTTGTGGCACAAAGTGGTAGAATACCAACATTGGGGAAAAAAAAAGCTCAGGGATAGTGCCCAGGCCTGAGTTCAAGCCCCCACCACCACCACCACCACCACAACTATCATCATCAACAACAAAAAACACTGAGGGCATGAGGAGACTGGTATGTCTAATGAGGGCTGCACGGTCATATGGTCATCATGCCAAAATGCTCCATTTACCAGGCCTTCTTTACTCTCCTGTCACTAACTAGGAGCCAGCAGGTGGTTGTTGCCAAGGTGTGTTCTTCCTCATGTATTCTTCTTGGAGAAAAACCGATGAACTAGATGCTAGAGTTAGAACATTTCTGGGTTATGCAATATTTCCAAGTTTAGCCTTTATAGGAACTGCCAAACCATTAGCTATATTTGCATTCCAATTCCTCTATGACCTCACCAACCATTACTACTGTCCATTTAAAAAATACTGCCATTCTAGTAGTTTTGTAGTCTCACTGTGAGATATATATATATATATATATATATATATTTATCTGTGTATCTATATACTATACATATACATGCATACATACACACATTAAAAATGTATATTATATATTAATTATATAACATCTAACACTAAATACTGGTGAGCATCTAGCTCACGAGTTTTTCTAATCCTGAGGCTTGAGCATACGACTTGAGCTTTTTTGCTCAAGGCTAGTACTCTATCACTTAAGCCACAGCTCTACTTCTGGCCTTTCTTTATTTTTTTTTGGCTGGCTAATTAGAGGTAAGCATCTCACTTGACTCTCCTGCCTGGGCTCATTTTTAACTGCAACCTTTCTATCTCAGCCTCTGGACTAGCTAGCGTTTAGGCCTGAGCCACCAGTCCTATTTCATTGTGATTTGCAAATTTCCTGATGACTACAGACATTGAGTATTTTTTCCTGTACTTCTTAGACAGCTTTGGGAAACATCTATTAGGTGCTACTAGATTTTGGTACCAGGGTTTTGTGCTTGCTAGGCAGGAACTCTACTGCTTGAGCCACACATGCAGGCCTGGGCCATCCTTTTGTTCTGAGTGTTAAGAAACCTTTTTTTTTTTGAGCATTAAACCCTTATCATATATATGTTTTGCAAATATTTTCTCTTATTCTGTAAGTTGTCTTTTCAGTTTATTGGTAATGTTCTTTCTAAATTTTAGTTTTTCTAGCCATAGCAAAGGAAACAATGACGGCTATCATGAAGAACAAATGCAGAGGCTGGGAAGGTGGCTCAGTGGTAGAGTGCTTGTCTTACATGCATGAGGTCCTGGGTTCGATTCCTCAGTACCACATAAGCAGAGAAAGCCAGAAGTGGCACTGTGGCTCAAGTGGTAGAGTGCTAGCCTTGAACTGAAGAGCTGAAGGAGAGCGCCCAGGCCCAGAGTTCAGGCCCCATGACCAACAGGAAAAAAAGAACAAAAAACAGAACAAATGCAATAAAGGACCTGAAAATATCTGTAAGCCAGTGGCAAAAGGGGTAAGTTTAGAGCACCTACAAAGTTTGGAGGTCAGCCTCGATAGTTTTAGTGTTGGCTCTTCTGCCTTTCAGCTGAATGACTTTATACAAGTTTCTTAACCTCGCTGAGCTTTACTTTCCTCATCCTTAAGATGAAGATAATAATAGTATCTACCTCAATGTATTTTGTAAATACTAAATAAGCATAAGTGCTGGGCACAGCATGAGCACTTGAGAAATGTTAGCTATAATTATTAATCCTAATTATGGCAAATTATAAAGTATTATGCCAGAACCACTGACAACAAATCACAAGATCTTATTCGAGCTAAGACATTATCAACCCTATTAAGATCTGTACCTAGCAGACTGACTCACTCACAGAAGTTGTCTATACCCCAGGATAAGCTGCTCTTGTCTACACAGATGTATGGAAACATATGGAGCTGGGACTGTGGTCTACAAATTCTACCAGGGCCTAAATCTCTTCTAACAGACACAGAAGTTCTCAAATTCATACACTCTTATGAAAATGCAAATGATTCCATTTACTAGTAGGTTGGGTTAAGGCAATGTTTACAACAGACTGCATTTATTTACTACCAAGCATAAATGTTTTCTTCTTAATGAGATCCTTCAAAAATAGAAATGGAAACAGAAACTCTTTTTGAGAACTTGATGCCTAATTATTACTTCAATGGTGGACATCATTTGGCATCCATACCGTAAACATCATTTATGGGGAGAGATATGTCCATAAAAAGCTGAATTCTTTTGGGGCTGGGAAGGTGGCTCAGTGGTAGAGCGCTTGCCTTGCATGCTTGAGGCCCTGGGTTCAATTTCTCAGCACCACATAAGCAGAAAAAAAAAAAAAAGCCGGAAGTGGCCCTGTGGCTCAAGTGATAGAGCGCTAGCCTTGAGCTGAAGAGCTGAGGGCCAGCACTCAGGCTCTGAGTTCAGGCCCCACAACCGGACCAAAAAAAAAAAAAAAAGCTGAATTGTTTTTACTCCCATCAGTTGTTCTACAGGTACACGGGACAAGAAAATTACTGATGTTGTGCAGGTTTTATATAGTTTACAGCCTGCATGGTTAAGCCAATCATAGAGATAAAGAGCAAAGAAAGGATAAGGACTAACTACTTGAAATGCTGAATCATCTCATTTTAGGCAACATAATCTCATGTGTCCACAACAGTCAGCTTCAGTTGATACCTGAGGCCGAAAGAACTGCTAACAATCTCTACTGGAAGCAGTGTGTTACTCCTGATTACTATGAACTGTAACATCCCAATCAGCATCCAATCAGTACCTTTTCTGGAGATTCACATAATATATTTTCTGGCTTTAGGTCACGGTGAGCAATGCCTGAAATGACAAACAGCAAAGAAATGGTTAACATATGCACATAATTATCAAACTTTCCACACACAATTAATTTTTTCCAAATGCTGTTGTTCGCAGATTAATTCCCAATTATGGTACATTAAAAAATCAACGAGCTGCAGGAGGCAGAAGTAACCAGAGACATAAACCAAAAGCACAGTTGATTCTGCAAGTTCTTTTGAAGCACAGGCTTTAGAAGTCTGGAAGGGATAAGAAGGGCTAAATGAATCCCAGCCAGCCTACTTTCAGCACTGCAGAGACAACCAAGAATTCTTATTGTGCTGCCTGACACAGAGCAGAGCAGAGAGCTCTGCAAACACCAATGCCTGCAACAGCAATGCAGAAATAATTAGTGCCTTGTTTAAGAGCATCTCAAGGGGCTTAGACTCTCTACCTCATTTCTTCTTGTATAGCTGATCCAGAAAAACAAACCTTGTGAATCTCACAAGGCTTGTCAGATTCCTCTCCCCTGCTTGGAGGTCCAAGTCAGTCCTGCCCACAGCAGGGCAAGGACACTTTTGGCTTAAGGATACTGTCCTTCAGAGAAGTTGCCCCAGCATTTTGGCTGGATCTTCTATGAAGGACTGCAAATAGCAGCTGACCCCTGGAGGCGTTGAAAGCTGCTAACCAGGCCAAGAAGGCATCTAAGAGGGGAAAGTCATTTTCTAGTCATAGAAAGAAAGAACTAATAAACAGAGTCATGATGTTTTGACAGAGAATAAGAAACCTTTCCTCCTTCCTTCCACGGTACAGAGATAGGAGACCTGTAAGGTTGAGCAAAAGTCAAAGACCTGCTTCCAAGGACTGGAAGACAGCAGAGGTTTCTTGGGTAATAGAAACAGCAGACTCTACTTTCCTCTAATTCTCTGGACGATCAACTCCTTAGGTAACCACCACTTCTCTACTAGAAAGCAAAGGCCTGGGGCTGGGAAGGTGGCTCAGTGGTAGAGCGCTTGCCTTGCATGCCTGAGGCCCTGGGTTCGATTCCTCAGCACCACATAAGCAAAAAGAAAAAAGCCAGAAGTGGTGCTGTGGCTCAAGTGGTAGAGTACTAGTCTTGAGCTGAAGAGCTGAGGGACAGCACCCAGGCCCAGAGTTCAGGCCCCACGACTGGACCCAAAAAGAAAGAAAGAAAGCAAAGGTCTATCCTACCTGAGGCACTTAACTAAAGAAAAGGCCAAGCTGCAGCATGCTAAGTAACGTCATCAGTCACCTAATTGAATGAGAACCCAGAGCAACTCAACCCGGCCTGCACAAATTGAGTCAGACTACTGCTCACTGCACTAAAAGTGAAGGATATTTTCCATTACAGCAAGTGCTCCCACAGAAGGATCATGAGCTGCACACGGAGCCTTACTCTTCAAATAGGTGCCCGTGGCCCATTCGTCCCCTCAGCCTGAGAACAACTCCAGGAGCCAGCCTGTAATAATGGGCCTGCCTGTGTGAGTGCACCAGCCATCCGGCAGCTCCAGTTCATTTCCCAGAGGTTAAGCTGCAGTGTGTCCAGTATTTAAAAGTAAGGAACTTGTTTCAGGGCTGACCCATTCTTGCCAATTCATCTTCCCAGCATGAAGTTATTTAGAAAACAGCCAAATTCAGCTGGAAATCGTTTTTCATGCTCTCCAACTTCTACTCACATGGGCAACTGGCCAGTTAGACATTAACAAGCACTTCAGAGCTCCTAAGACACCACCAGCCTCTGTTCCCTTTGGTGGATTCTTGTAAATAAATAAATAAATAACAAACACACCCCTTTACCCCTCCTCCAAGGTATGGCTCTTGTAAAAAGCATGACCCAGTTTTGCAATCTACAGAGGCAGCTTGGGGAACAGTTGTAAATCTTTGTCAGGCAGGTGTTACCTACATGCATCCCAGCTTTCAGAAACACAACTGCTGCTATTCATCACACTGTGGAGGGTACAGATACTTCCTTCCAGGAATTTTCAACCCTAACATGGCCACTGTCAGTTTTTGGATCTCTGTCAGCTATTGGAGGAAACCAGACAGATTCCTCGAACCTGAACCTCCAGCACATCTGCCATGCCACATCAGGCAGCACTCTACTATTGGCACAAAGTGAGATGTATGCATAGTATATCTACAGTTGATCCTGAGCACTCTAAACCAGTGCGGCTGGCCACAGTCCATTGTGAAAGGAATATTCCCAAATTACTTATTCTTCCAGTCCCCTGGCAGAATGTTTTACCTTATAGGGAATAAAATTAGAAATATAAATATTTTCTGCTTGGCAGTAGATGAGGGGAGAGGAAATAACATTTAATGAAGAACTACTATGTGCCAGGAATGATGTTCCAACCAAGCCCCCCCCCCCCCCCCCACACATCCACATATCACCATATACAAATAAAAATACATTTTAAAGTTGGGTGAGGTTGCCTACATCTGTAATCCCAGTACTATGGAGGCTGAGAGGCAGGCCGATCCCATGTTCATCTGAGGCCAATGGGACATAGAAGCCCATACCTATAACCCTAGATACTCAGGAGACAGAGATCAGGAAGATCAAGATGGCCAGCCTGGTCAGCTCAGGGACAATACCAAGGCCCTGAGTTCAAGCCCCACAACAGACCAAAAAAAAAAAAAAAAGCTGGGTGCAGTTCTGTTACACCTGATTAATGATGATGATGATGATGACAGCATTTTTTCATTTACTATAAGCAAGATCCATTAAAAACTATACATATCCAATCATACCAATTTTTAATATGCTTCAAAAGACTAAATAAAATGAATGACACTAAAATATTTACATTAGAGTGATCATGTCATGCATGAATTTCATGTTCTTCATCAAGAAAAGAAAAGGAGCACCATCTACTCAGAATTGCAGTGGACACATGAACACAGGATTTGTTCAATTTGAAATTCATTTATTTCCTTCTCCCTTCTCCTGTTTCCCTATCCACTACCTATATTACAGCTCTACCATCCCACCATTCACAGTAGAAGCCAAGGAGTCATGCTGGACTGCCCCACCTGTGTGGGCAGCTTGATAGCTGCACCAACTCTCGGGCAAGCTCCCCTGTGAAGCCTATCCCCTCTCCCTTTGTACTCAGAGGCTGTCCAGCCTAACCTGCCTGCCCAAGGTGGAGGCTTGGATCACCTTTGGTATGTAGGAAGTCAAGGGCAGCAGCAACATCCCGAACTACTCGGCTTGCTTCTAGTTCATTGAAGTGCTTCCGCTTCTGGATGTGGGCTAGGATGGAGCCTGAGGAGCAGAGGGAATGTGGAAGAATGAATGTGAAGGGTCTAGTAAGCAGAGTCGAAGCTTTTACAAGTTTGGGATGGGAATACAAGCTAAATGTATGCTAAATGTCCAGCACAAAGTATGGTCTTTTACAGAGGAGGGACTAGCATGTATCTGCTGAACAAAACTGGACTTTAACATTGTGTATCTATAAAGAACTCAGAAGCAGCAAAGAACAAGTATATATATTGTAAAATAATAATGATGATAATGATGATGATGATGCCAACTGGGGCTGATGTAGCTTCTGATATCAAAAGAACTAAAAAAAATGTACTCTTTACATGACTTATGTAACTGTAATCCCTCTGTACATCACCTTTATAATAATTTAAAAAAAAAGAACTAGAAGCAAATGCACATAGGGCTGAGGATCTCAGGAGTATTTCCTCCACAGCCTCTGAGGTCAGACCTAGCTAAGAGTTCATACTTTCCAATGGGAGATATGTAAAAGTCTGGAAACTGGAGACAAACTCTTCAACTTTCCCCTATGCTACTATTATTATTTTGCTAGCAAGGGATAACATTTATTGGGAAGGTATTGTGTGCCAGGTACTACACAATGCTCTTTAAATAAATTCTCAACTATAATTGTAAAAAATGGGCAGGACATCAATCCCCATTTCAACTTGATGCCAAATATGGTTAAGCAACTAGTCCAAGATCACACCCCTGGAGGTGGCAAAGCCAGGACTTAGGGCCAGTGCGTGGACTTCCTTCAGCAGGAATGTGATCTAACCACTGAACGCACCGCCTGAGCCAGCACACTGTTTACCCTCTAGGTCTGGGGGAAGCTCACTTAGAGCTGTACTCTTGTTGTTGTTTTTTGGGTCCGGTCGTGGGGCCTGAACTCTGGGCCTGGGCGCTATCCCTCAGCTCTTCAGCTCAAGGCTAGCACTCCACCACTTAGAGCCACAGCGCCACTTCCAGCTTTTTTCTTTTTGCTTATGTGGTGCTGAGGAATCAAACCTAGGGCCTCATGCATGCAAGGCAAGCGCTCTACCACTGAGCCAGCTTCCCAGCCCCTAGAGCTGTGATATGGCTACCAAGAACTGGTGCTGCATCCAGCATTCCAAATACATAATTCACGACCTGATGGGGCTTGGTGTGGCACGGGATGGGGTGGGACAGACCACAGGCATGATCATATAGCTTGGCTTCATGTGAGCCATACTCATTACTGAAACCCCACAGCTGGACTGAAGGTGTCATTCCTGTGTCTAAGCTTACTGCTTATTATTTCTGTTCTCGTAGGGTGTTTTGTTTTTTGTACAGGGAAGGGATGAAAGAAGCACATGTCATCCAATCCAAGCTGTCAAAGGTCATCCAATCTGTCAGATTAAAAAATCAAAACAGCTGGGCTGGGAAGGTGGCTCAGTGGTAGAGTGCTTGCCTTGCATGCAAGAGGCCCTGGGTTTGATTCCTCAGCACCACATAAGCAAAAAGAAAAAAGCCGGAAGTGGCGCTGTGGCTCTAAGTGGTGGAGTGCTAGCCTTGAGCTGAAGAGCTGAGGGATAGCGCCCAGGCCCAGAGTTCAGGCCCCACGACTGGACCCCCCCCAAAAAAAAATCAAAATAGCCTATCATGCTAGAACCAGCTCCTACCTAGGCTCTGGCTTGTTTTGCTGTAGTAAGCCTCTTGTTTCTACATTTGTTAAAAGAGAGGGCAGAGAGTAATATTCTACATGTTTCTAAGGCAGTCCCCAGCCTACCTAGTTGTTTTAATGATATAAACAACTAACATTTCTTGAAACATTCATTAGTGCCTATTAGGTACAGTGCCCTGCATTTCACATGGCCTATCTCTTATAGTCTTCATAGCAACCCCATAAGGCAAGCTTTACCAACAGACAACAATGCTGTTTGGGAAACAAGGTCATATAGTTGGTAAGTGATAGAGCTAGATATGCTTAGCTTTGTGCCTCCCTAACCACCAGGCCCCTCTGTATACCCCTCCTCTGAACTCCACACAGCTCCTAACCTTCACCTTGCAAATGTGTCCTATGGTTGGGTGAGGAATGGGAAGGGAAAGTGTTTGTCTAGCTCCTTCAGAAAGGCAACTTCAATTCACACATGTGGGAGGTAATAGCAGCATGGTGGTAGGCAAGAGTGGCATCCGTCCCCCTGACGGGTGGCATGTTCTTGGCCTCCCCTCTATCATGGGTCTGTGTCTCAAACAATGGGACACTCCTCTTTTCTGTTCAGCCTATATAGACTTCACAATGTAAGCTGAGCTTCCACCCCATAATTAATTTAGTTAAATAGTGAATGTGTCAAAACAGGGGATGGATAAATTGATCACTAGATGTATCTATATATATATGACTTCTATTATAATGAAAAGGCATTTACAGAAAGCCCACACAGGTGACATTCTAAGCTCTGCAAAATGCTAATTATCATCCTTCCCTCCGGCTTCTCCCAAATCAAGGGCAGTTTTTAAGTCCTTCATCCTTTGTATTAGCTAGAAGTCTCTGGGATTCGTGATGGATGATCACCACCCTGGGTCTTAATCCAAAGTCTAAACACATACTCAACAAGAAGTACCTCCTTGTAATTTCTCAAAGACCAAGTAAAACCTGGTGTCATCTTCAAAGAACTCAATCAGCTCCAAAATGTTCCTTAAATAGGGAAAAATAGGAGGAAAGGGAAGAGGAAGGGGGATAGTATTATATATTAAAGTCCACTTACAATACACAATGAAAAAAAATACAACATCCTGTAGCAGAGCAGAAACCAACTTGAATCAGAATGCTTATTAGAGACCCATGTTTGAGAAGCAGCCAATGGTGTTAGCAAGATTCAGGTCACCTTATCTTTCCATAATGTTTAGTCTCTGGTGTTTTCACCAAGTCTGCGCTGTCAAACCCCAACCCTAAAACCCACTAGGTAGAGTTATAAAAAAAGTCCCGGTCACATTAAACTGAATAAAATCTGCAGCCGACTGGAAGCAATTGCGCCTAATAACACTGAATAGTAGGTGTGTGTCCTGGAGGCAAGCAGCAAATAATTACTTGCCCTCCCTCTTGCCCATAAATCACGGGGCAGTATTTACATTGCCTGGAGAAAATGGAAACATCTGTCAAATAGACTTGGGGCCTAACGTGGGCACCGCTAGACCCTAACTGCTAAGCGCTGTTTAATGAAACGGCCGCGCTCCTGGCCACCATAGCACTTGTGGCCTTCCCCGGTGAGCACTCGCTGTCTGCCCAAGTACTGTGGTGCTCGGCCAACAAGGTCGTCTTGTAGCTCAGTAGGGAAGCTACTGGCCTGGATATTGGAGGTGTTGGGGGCTTTTTTTCTTTGAAAGAATGAAATAAACCAAGTAGAATCTCTAATGCTGTACTAAGAAGCTGCAGGGCTGAAAATAAAAATCTGTACCTCATAAAAAAAATGCTGACCACTTGGGGAGATACCAGGCTTTTTATTAGTGTGAAGGCGTCCAAATAAGATGGCCAAAATGGCCTAATTGGAAAGATTTTAGAGGCAGTGCCTAGAGTTAAATCAACAGCAGCCCCCATCCTCCAGGCTTAATGACAGAGCCATCAATACCAGGCCACTGGCTCCCTGCTGAACCTGCCATAGAGGAAGCGTGGGCAAAGCAAGTCTGGGAGGTGACTGATTTAAAGCCACATTGGGAGGGCCCCTCATTTGGAACAGTCTAATACAGGGCTACAGGTTAGTGTGGCCCAGATATCAAGCAAAGAGTACTGGCCTTGGTTTTAGGGTAGCAGTATTTGTGCATATGTAGGCCCTGGCTTCAGGTAGCAGTATCCATGCATATGTGGGACTTCTTTTCAATCTCATCTTGGTATTAAAGAAGCCCCAGCTGGGCACATCTATAATCTTAGCTACTCAAGAAGCTGAGATCTGAGGATCACAATTCGAAGCTTGCCCAGGCAGAAATGTCCCTGTGAGACTCTTATCTCCAATAAACCACTCAAAAATCGGAAGTGGCTCAAGTGGTAGAGCACTAGCCTTTAGTGCAAAGAGGCTCAGGGAGAGCACCCAGACCCTGAGTTCAAGGCCCAAAACCAAAAGAAAAAAGGAAAGAAACCCCAAAGATTTTATTTTATTTTTTTGTCGGTCATGTGTCTTGAACTCTGGCCCTGGGCACTGTCCCTCAGCTCTTCAGCTCAAGGCTAGCATTCTACCACTTGAGCCACAACACCACTTCTGGTTTTCTGGCAGGTTTATTGGAGATAAGAGTCTCACAGATTTTCTTGCCCGGGCTGGCTTTGAACCCTGACCCTCAGATCTTAAGCCTCCTGAGTAGCTAGGATTATAGGCATGAGCCACTGACACCCAGCTAGCCCCAAAGATTTCTATCAAGCAACACTCAGCCGGTCCCGCTTCCACAGGCACTAGAAGGAAATGAAACATCATTTTTAACTCAGCCACTGACTGCCAGTGCTCACCCTTCTACCTTGCTGGATGGCTAATAATAGTGTTTCAGCCTAAAGAGAAAATGGCTTCTTGGGCCTACTGCTATTTATCCTCCTTCCCTCCATCCTTCCTTTCTCTCCCACTGGAAGATCAAATTAGGAGGAAGGGTTGACAGTAAAGCACTGGGGTCAAGGGATGGTAATCTTTTCTTTGGCCAAACCTTTCCCAGAGAAGCAGCAAACACCACACAGGACACTCACTTGTTTCCTTGACACTGGTAGAGTGTCTCCACCTCCCGGAATACTCGACTCCGACTGTGGCCTGCTTGTTTTTCAATGATCTGTGGGAAGAATAAGATCTGTACACCATCTGACCTCACCATAGCCCCTCGACAGGAGCCCCTAGGAGAAGGCAAAGGCAGATACAGTCCAACCCCCAGTTTTAAGCAGGAGTCGGGAGTAGGTCTTGGTGACAGGCATGTAGCTCTGTCAGGGAAGCACGAGACTGGCATGAGGAAATTCAGCCAGCTGCAGCCATATATGACACCAAGGAAGCCTATGTGGCTGCTGCCTCAGCTGTACATAGCAGACAGAGGCAGCCAGCAAGAGTCTATTCAGTTCTTTCTGCCTCATGAGAAACAAGTGAGAGCCTCAGTGGAAGGACCTTCTAGAGCTGGAGAAAGTAGGAGTGAGGGAGGAAGCTCTGAGGAACAACAGCCTCCAGGCCCAGCTCAGATGCCACTCCACAACTCCCCAGGCAGAAGTAAGCACTTCCTCTTCTGAGAATTTAACTTTTCTGTATGCAGACTTCAGGATAAGTAATTTAGACACTTAATCTCAGTGGACCTTTAGAACTGTGTCAAAAGATAGGATGGTATAAAGCATTCTGTTCATAGCCCAAAGCTGATTCCACAGCCCCTCGCTATCCTACATCAAAGGGTGTCTGCCATGACCCATCTCTCCTCAGTTACTGTAGGCTGCTCCCTCCACACTTTTATCTGGAGATGCTTTGCACATGCTGGCTGTAGGATCCTTGAGTCTACAGAGTAGTGGTTTCTGCAGGGATTCGCTGATTTAGAAAAGCTCTCTGGAACCATCCAGAGTTCCAGATCTTTAGAAACAAAGCCTACAGGCAAGTCTTCTTCAGGGCTGGCCCTGTCTTATAACTCCAATGGGATCATTCAGTTCCTTTCCTCCAATACCGCTCAGGAAACTTCAAATATCTCCAATATGCTATATCACAAACATTCATAACCAACTGTAATTTCCTAACTAAACCCATATCTGCTAGTAAAACACTATGGGCTCATTTTCTGAGCTATCTTCCAGGTACAGTTCTAGGGGAATAGAAGCAATTTGATGCCAGGTCTCATTCACTAAGCAGTTCAGGTCAAAGTCAGGGAGAACTTCCCAGCAGATAGGCTTTCCAATAACAGGAAGCAGAGTTGATATCTAGCAGGCTGTAGCCACTAGAGATGGGGAACAGAACATGAACAACTACTGGGAGGCTGGATCAAATTATCTAGCCATTTTTCTGGTCCTGAGGTTCATCATTTGGATGGCTATAGGGAAGCAGTGATAAACCAAGTCTTGAGAAGCTATGCTGGGAGCAGTAGTCCATCTTAGGGAGCTTTCAGAAAGTAGAGGTGACATGAGACATGGGCAGAATTGCTGATACCAAAGATTTGGCACACCAAAGCTGGTGTTTGCCCCAAGCTTCCAGTGGGACATGCAGCAAAAGGCCACATTTCCACTTGTGACTCGATTTGGAAAAATAGATCTGTCATCCATAATGTATCAAACCTTTGAAAACCAACTTATATTTGTGGGTGTCACCACATACATTTATGCATAATTTAAAAAAATTGCTTGCAGACCAGTGCCAGTGGCTCATATCTGTAATTCTAGCTACTGAGGAAGCTGAGACTTGATCCTGGAGAATCAGGGTTCAAAGTCATCTCTTAGAAAAAAGCAAAATGCTAGACTGAAAGGCACAGTTTAAATGGTAGAGCACCAGTTGTGAGCAAGAAAGCTGAGTATGAACATAAGGCCCTGATACCAGCACCAAAAAAAAAAATTACTTGTAATTCTTGCTGATCTGTTTTCAAGAGGAACCAATTTTTTTGAAACTAGCTAAACTTGCCAGAATGTAGAATCACCTTAGACCTGGGGCTCAGGTGGCTGATTCAAAATAAGCTTGAACTGCCCACCTCGGATTTGGTAAAGCTTTCTCTACCTTTTTTTTGTTGTTGTTGTTGGTCATGGGGCTTGAACTCTAGGCCTGGGTGCTGTCCCTCAGCTCTTCAGCTCAAGGCAAGTGCTCTACCTCTTGAGCCACAGCATCACTTCTGGTTTTCTAGTGGTTTTTATTGGAGATCAGAGTCTCATGGACTTTTCTGCCCGGGCTGACTTTGAACCGTGATCCTCAGATCTCAGCCTCCTGAGTAGCTATGAAAAACTTGCGTGAGCCACCGGTGCCCAGCAGCTTTCTCTAACTTAATGATTATTTATTTATTTTTGTCGGTCATGGGGCTGAACTCTGGGCTTGGGCGCTGTCCTTGCACTCTTCAGCTCAAGGCAAGTGCTCTACCGCTTGAGCCACACAGTGCTACAAGTTTTCTAGTGGCTTATTGGAGATAAGAGTCTCATGGACTTTCTGCCCAGGCTGGCTTTGAACTATTATCCTCAGATCTCAGCTTCCTGAGTAGCTAGGATTACAGGTGTGAGCCACCGGCACCCATCTTAGCTTAATGATCCTTAAACATTGGCAAGTCTCAGATTTACTGAGCAGCTTAGTGAAAGCATAGACCCAGGCTCTCTCCTATACAAAAAAATTGGCTCTCTATACACCTTATCAACTGGTTGGGTGATCATCCCCATGTTCCCAATATTGCATCAATCGTTCTCCATCAGAGTTCTCAAACTGAAGTAAGCATCAGCATCACCTGGGTGGTTTTCGGACATTCATACTGCGAGGGCACTTCCAGTTTCCGGGTCAGTAGGTTTGGGGTAGGGCTAGATCATGTATCTTCCTCACGGATTCTTAGGTGGCACTGAAAACGTGGGGGACTTCACTCTGAGACTCAGAGCTCTCCATCCATCCCTCTTTCCACAGGGGGCCGCCAAATGAGAGCAGTGTGATGAAGTGAGCCACACCAGGGCCATACAGCTAATTAAAGGCAGCACTGAGGGTACAAGTCACACCTTCTGCCCCTGAAGTTGAGTGCATGGTCACTTGAGATTTTAGTTCTCATGATTCTGATACTGTACATGACTACTTGGTGGTTTGTAAAGTATTACTACCACTACTGGTTCTTTTTTTTTTTTTTTTTGGTTGGTCATGGGGCCTGAATTCTGGGCCTGGGCACTGTCCCTTAGCTATTCAGCTCAAGGCTAGCACTTTACCACTTTGGCCACAGCGCCACTTTCAGCTTTTTCTGCTTATGTGGTGCTGAGGAATTAAACCCAGGGCCTCATGCATGCAAGACAAGCGCTCTACCACTGAGCCACCTTCCCAGCCCTTACCAGTTCATTTCCAATTGCATAACCACCTCATGAGACAGGAAGGGAATTCAGAGATGTAGAAAACAAGGCTTAAGGAGGTTAAATGACTTGACCAAAGTCAAATAGTACTAATTTGTCAAAATGGAGATTGCAGAAGGGCTTCTAGTTCTAAACCTGGCTTTCTACCTCCTGTTCATTTCTTACTGTGTTTAACAGAGAAATGAGAAATAGCCTGCTATACTTCAACCATTGTCTTAAGCACATTATATGTATTAATTTACTTTTTTTTTTGGGGGGTCCGGTCATGGGGCCTGAACTCTGGGCCTGGGTGCTGTCCCTCAGCTCTTCAGCTCAAGGCTAGCACTCTACCACTTGAGCCATAGTTCCACTTCCGGCTTTGTTCTTTTTGCTTATGTGGTGCTGAGGAATTGAACCCAGGGCCTCATGCATGCAAGGCAAGCGCTCTACCACTGAGCCACCTTCCCAGCCCTGTATTAACTTACTTAATCCTCACAATTCTATACAGGTTTTATTAATATACCCATTTTACAGATGAGGAAAACTTAAGGACAGACTAGTCAAGCAACTTGCTTAAGCTTACATAGCAATCAAGTAGAAAAAGTAAGATCTGAATCCAGTGACTAAACATGGCTTTGGAGCCTTTCCCCCGTTCTTACTGAGCCACGATTTTGCAAAATGTACCATTTCTTTGGTTGGGGACAAGCTAGGAATGACTAATTGCAAAGTTAACACTCACTTTGACAGCATACTCTTTGCCACTCTGCAGGCTCACAGCACCTTGAACTTTGGCATAGGCTCCCTCTCCCAGCAATTCAGAGGTCAGCTTGTACATATCTAGAGGGGAAACAGTGAGAGGAAAACAAGGTGAGTTGCAGGGCGCCAGTGACTCAGCCTGTAATCTTAGCTACTCAGAAGGCTGAGATCTTAGGATCATGGTTTGAAGCTATCCTGGGCAGGATGAGATTCTTATCTCCAATAAACCCTCAAAAAAGCCTGAAGTGGTGCTGTGGCTCAAGTGGTAGAGCGCTGGCCTTGAGCAAAAAGAAGCTTAGGAACAGTGCCCAGGCCCAGAACTCAAGCCACAGGACCGGCAAAAAAAAAAAAAAAAAAAAGAACACAAGGTGAGTAACCTCACTTCAAGCTAATATGAAAAAAGAGCTCTGTCACATGGCTTCCCTGGTTTCACCAGCCAGGCAGAACAGGCTATGATGACTCTGTAGCCATCAGTGATGAGATGTGCCACTTTCCCTGTCAGTGCAGGATTTAAGTCTTTTGAAAAGATCACACAGAATGCATCCTGTTCCTCATTTGAGATGAGGTCAGAGATTGAGTTTCACCTCAGTACCTATTTCCTGAGCACCTATTCTGTGGTGGATAGCAAAACAAGGACAGACTGAGAAATAAGATGATGTCCCTCCCTTCTCATACTCCACTGGGAAGACGGACACATACACAAAGGGCCCCAGAATAAACCAGGCACTGGGGAGTTCCATCCTGGAAAGATAGTATAGTAAAGAAAAAAATAAACAGAAGGGGCACAATTTAAAAGGACAGCATTTATTCATTTACTTATTTGCTGAGTGTTTTTTTTTTGGGGGGGGGTCCAGTCATGGGGCCTGAACTCTGAGTCTGGGCACTGTCCCTCAGCTCTTCAGCTCAAGCTAGCGCTCTACCACTTGAGCCACAGCGCCACTTCCGGCTTTGTTCTTTTTGCTTATGTGGTGCTGAGGAATCAAACCCAGGGCCTCAAGCATGCAAGGCAAGCGCTCTACTACTGAGCCACCTTCCCAGCCCTTGCTGAGTGTTTTTTATGTGCCAAGCTCTGTGCGAGGTACTGGTGAGATGAAGGTGAATACCATTCTAATTGATTCACACAATAGAGGTAGAGGTTTCTGAGAAGTTTGCCCACAGGAAATCAGAGATACAAGTAGGATATAAGCAATGCCTTGAGGTTTTAGGTAGACCCAGAGACTTAGAATAATAAGCCTGGGCTAAAAGAATTTTCAAGTGACCTGCTCAAGTTCATAAACAACCCGAGCTCTCTGAGCCCCTCTAAAGAAAGCCTCATCTTCCCCACAGTCCTCCCTTGATCCACTCCTTAGTTTTTCTTTCTTGAGGCAGCCTAACCTTTAAACCCATTGACTGAGCAGAAGACTTTAAACCATGATACAAGACCTCATCTCAGGGGCTGGAAAGGTGGTTCAGAGTGCTTGCCTTGCATGCATGAGGCCCTGGGTGCAATTCCTCAGCACCACATAAGCAGAAGCCGGAAGTAGTGCTGTGGCTCAAGTGGTAGAGCACTAGCCGTGGGCTAAAGAGCTCAGGGACAGCACCCAGGCCCAGACCAAAAAAAAAAATCTCATTGCTCTTAGTCATGAGAAGTCCTTGATTGTACAAATTATCTTTAACAGGAAAATCATCTGTTCTCAGAAAGAGCGAAATACCTTTTAGAATGGTTTGCAAGCTGTTCTAAAAATGCCCACCCATTGTTGCCCTCCCCTCATGCACACATATACATATTCACAAACAGATACACATGCATACCATTTGAATCAAGGGGAAAACAAATAAAACAATGTCTTAGTACTTTCTTGGTCCCATCACGGTCTGGACAGGCAGCTGCCCATATGAACAGATGGCCCACGGCTGTTTGTAAGTATTCTCCCACAGTGCACACTTTGGCATTTGCTCTTACACATGTCAGCATGTGTAACCAATGGTAACCAATATTCCTCACTCATAGAGTGCTTGTTATCAGAACACTGCTCAAAACAATCAACTAACTGGTGTGTCTGCAAGGCCAGGACGAGGGCCCAGGAGAGAAAGAAAGGAAACAGGTGCTGGGACACGTGACTCTCAGGAGCAGTTATTGGTCTTTCTGGTCCTTAGCAGAGGTACCCAGTGAATCCATCCTTCCATCAAAGGCCAGCGAGGACAGACCAGTGCAGAGTCTGACCTCTCATATAGAATGTCCAAAATGATGACACATGTCATGTTCCCTGAATACCACACACACACACTAAAAGGAAGTCAAACACTGCACACATAGCTGCAATCTCTGGGAGCTCAATTCTCTATTGAGAGAAGATAGCAGTGTCATCTGCAGTCATTCTTGCTTCCTCTTCTGTGGTTGTTCTGCCTCTCCACATCCCTTCCAGGAAGCACTGGGGAAGGACCATGTCTGCAGAGGAGCTGGTTTACACAAGGATCTCACTTGACTGGCCTTTCTGCCTGCCAAGGGGGTGCTTGGAGGTGAGTGTATTGTCTGAGAGCTTTTCCCATACCTACTCACTCTGTGTCATTCCTTTGTGTAAATTCACTCACTTCTGTCTTCTTCTATCACCCAGATGACCACAGCTGGCTCTAACATAGGGCATCCTGTGATTTGCACAATAAACACCAGGATGCTCCCTCCTCATGGGGAACCACAGGCTCAAATCTAAGACTAACCTTCAAACCTTCCCGGCAAGGAGTCAGTGGCCCGGGACTTCCGCTTCTTCTTTCTTCTCTTGTCACTGTCCGCGATGGGAAGGGGCTCGCTGCTGCCCATCTCTGGGAGACAAGAGGAGATACAAGGGGAGTAGCAGTGTACTGATCGAACAGTAAGTTTACCCAGAGGGAGAAAAGGGGGAGACTCAGGAGCTTTACACTGATGGTTTTTAAATATCTGTGAGGACTATTGATTTGTTTTGACCCAGAAGGCAAAACTAAAGGCAAAACCATTACAGGAGATCATTAACTGTGGAAAGAAACTCAGACAAGCAGGCTAGATTAGAAGCCTTCACCAAGCTCATTAGCACATGGATTTAGATCTGCTAGCAAACCATATTCCCCCACTGGAACAAGGGATCCACAGCAGGGCCCTACCAGTGACAGCCTTCTGCCTCAGCACCAGAAAGGCGGGACTCAGAGAGATGGACTGGAAAGGTGTGGGAATAGGGGCTGTGGATAAAATCAGAGGCCCCAACAGCATCCCTGTGGATGAGCACAGGGTTGCAGCTGCTGCTGGGAAAGTAACAAGAGGGATGGGATAGTGTTAAGAACAGCTCCAAATTCCTCCACATCCAGGAGCACTGACCAGAGTGCCCATGCAGCCCAACAGCATTCTCTCTCCTCCCCAGTGCCTTTCTGAGAGGGGGTGCAAGGAGGGACCACTCAATAGCCTGCAGATGACAGGTCTATACCAGGCGGCTTGATGAGGTCACTTATTACAAAAACATCATTATCTTTCCCTGGCAGGCACCTGGCTCCCATGTCTTTAAAGGGAGGATTCATGAGGCAAACACAGACCTGGGACAGACTGGGCAGGAAAGGGTCAGGACAGAAAGAAACAGCAGGAGACTGGGAAAGAGAAAAGGGGAACAATGAACCAGTGCCCAATTGCAGTTCTGTTTCTAGGACACTCTAGGAGGGGCCTTCCCCTGTTAAAGATAAATTACTTATAGAACATGTCATGCCCCTGATCCAGAGTGGAGCCTTAATACTCTTTGCCCGCAGTTAGAAATAATAAGATTTCTCCGAAGTCTCTGGGTCTAAATCCCCACCAGGGTGATTAAACCTCCACATCCTTCTAAAATAGAGGCACTTGAGTGCTGATGGGGCAGATGATGTGAAGGACTTTTACACCAACCTTCAATAAACAGAGGCTCTGGGTTGTTGGGCTTTTTGCTTTGCTTTTTTTTTCTTCTTCTTCTTCTCTGAGAGATTTTAAAATGGAAGCTGGCTTTCTGCCTATGGAGGGGAATGGCCCAGTCCCTTCTCTGAGGGAGGGTCTGGCTAAATGTGATGGAAGGTTGATTAGAGCCAATGCAGTCTCAATACTATTCCCAGAGGTGAGCACATGGCAGCCATTATGAGGAAGCACACGGAATGGTCCTTTCAACACCGAGATCCAGAAAGCTAAGTGTCTGACAGCTCAATTTAGGTGCATTCTTCCTTCCACTTTGGGACTCTGATGACAGAAGATTTTCAATGAGAACAGATAACCAACTAGGCAAAAGGAATCCATAGAGGATCTCAAAATGTACTCCAGCTTCACGCACAAGCTGTAACACAGAACAGCAATGCCCTATGAATTTAAACAATTAAATGTAAACACAAGCACTGGAATACTCACAGTAACCAGTTAAATGAGAAGAAAAAAAAGCAGAAATGGCTGGGAAATAAGACACAGGATCACTCATCTTTGGGACCTTAAGGAGGGGTCACTGGGCCCTTGTCCTGAACAGCCCAGAGGGACAGTGTAGCCCATTGTCAACTCCTGTTCCATCAGCACTGAAAGCCAAGTGTGGAGTAGACAGATGTGAGTGGACAGATTTTTGGTTCCAGCTTCCTTCACCCTCCCTGTCCACATTCCAATGGTGGACCTGCCAACAAGCGAAATAGCCATCAGGCAGGTAGTGCAGATCAGCAGGCGAGCTGGCGGCATTGTGACTCACAGGGGAGGCTCAGCCACACTTATGGCTCTAACCCTGTTAGCAGCAATTTATGCTTGCTCTTTACCACAGCAGGGCCACAGGGCCTCCTGTGGAAGCAGCATACCTCTGGGCAGCGCCACACACTCAATATTAGATTTTATGGCTTCGCACACAAAGATAGAGTACCTGGTCTATTCTGCATGGAGCTCAATGGGAGAGGGTACGCCAGAAGGGACAAGTGGTTAAGACTTTCCTTGCAAAGAGAACTTGCTGGGGGAGAGTTGTTTTTGAAACTAGGAAGGAAAAACATAGGAAGACAGTGACATGAAAAAAATGTTAACCTCTCTGTTTTCACAGAGGGAGGACGAGGAGGGAAGGGGATGTCATAATCCCACCAAGGGGTTGCTGGTCCTCCATCTGGAGGCAGATCACAGGCTCTTCAGTTTCATCAGAGTCACTAGCAGTGACTTAATTCAGTATGCGCCAGTCACTGGACAAATGCTTCCTCAGGTAGAACCATAATCAAGCTACTCTTGACCCACTTGATTTCCCCAGACTAGGAGTTCTTCTTGGCTATGGAACCCAGCTTAAAAAGTCCTTACCTCTCTGTAGCCCCCTAATAACTCCAGATAAATTAGAGTTTGTGCAATCTGGGGGCAAATCATAGGTACTGCTGCTGTGCGGAACTATCTGGTGCTCCATCCTCTGCTCTCTAACCCTCTGGGAAGAGCTCTGCTAAGTACTGCTTTTACTTTGCCTAGGGCATTCCATGTGTTCCTAGAGGCCAAGATTGTCCCCTGTGCATACTGTTTCTCCTATAGATTGTAGCACAATGTCACACGCATATCCTCCATCAGAAACTGTGCTAAAAGCCAGATGCCTGTGTCTCATGCCTGTAATCCTAGCTACTCAGGAGGCTGAGATCTGAGGATTGGAGTTCAAAGCCAGCCTGGGCAAGAAAGTCTACAAGACTCTTATCTCCAATTAACCACCAGAAAAAAAACATAAGTGGTGCTGTGGCTCAAGTGGTAGAGTGCTAGCCTTGGGCTGAAGAGCTGAGGGACAGTGCCCAAGCCCTAGAGTTCCAGCCCCATGACTGATCCCCCCCCAAAAAAAAAGAAAGAAAAAGAAAGAAAGAAAGAAACTATGCTGAAATGGAAATGCCACGGGACAACCCATATACTAGGTGATATGGCAGGGTGTGTCAATTAGGCATATGCAGACAGACTAGTAACTGGTAACGGGGCACAGATAACTAATGCACACTCTGAAACAAATATGAGCACACCTGGGCCCTGCAGACAGCACAGTGAAAGGCTGCTGTGGCTGAGGCTAGGATTGTAGGCGTGAGTCGGGGTACCCAGTGAAAACAAGCTATTTGTTTTTTTTTTTTTTAATGAGTTGGGCACTGGTGGCTCATGCCTGTAATGCTAGTTACTCAGGTGGCTGGGATCTGAGGATCCTGGTTCAAAGCCAGGCTGGGCTTATCTCCAATTAATCAAAAAAAAATCCAGAAGTGGGACCATGGCTCAAGTGGTAGAGTGTTATCTTTGAGCACAGAAGTTCAGTGACAATGGCCCAGGCCCTAAGTTTAAACCCCAGGATCAGTACATACAGACACACACACACAGAAAGTTTCTTTGCTAGGCATGGTGGCTAACATCTGGAATCTTAGCTACTGGGGAAGTTGAAATCCAGAGGATTGTAGTTTGAGGCTATCCCTGCTCTGTCCTCATAAACATTCAAGGATTCCATCTCAAGAGAATAAACTGGGTGTGGTGGTGCATGCCTGTTACCCTAGCTATGACAGGAAGCATAAAATTGGAGAATCACAGACTTGGCAAAAAGTAAGACCCTTTCTCAAAATAACATTGCAAATAGGGATTGAAGTATGAATCACTAGAATATATCTGCCAAGCAAGAGTGAGGCCGAGTTCAAAGTTTAGTATGCCTTCCCCTTAAAGATGTTACTTTTAAAAAAAGAAACAAAAAAATCTCCTGAGCATTGGAACATGAGAGCTATATAGCTCTTTTTTTTGTCAGTCGTAGGGCCTGAACTCGGCTTGGGTGCTGTCCCTGTGCTCTTCAGGTCAAGGTCAAAGCTAGCTTTACAACTTGAGCCACAGCACCGCGTCCTGTTTTCTAGTGGTTTGTTGGAGATAAGAGTCTCATGGACTTTCCTGCCCGGTCTGGCTTTGGACCACCAGCGCCCAACTCTATATAGCTCTTGCTTCTTTGAGAATCAACTGCATCAGGTATTAAACAGGTAAGAGTAAGGATGGTTCACTTCATCACAGGTTGTTGTGAGAATCAAATAAGAAACTAAGCAAAGCACCGGTAGCTCATGCCTGTAATCCTAGCTACTCAGGATGCTGAGATCTGAGGATCATGGTTCAAAGCCAGCCCAGGGCCATTTTCTCCCTTTCCTCATGAGAACTTGGCCACATCAGCTTTATTGGCAATAAATCTTTTCTTCCTACTTGGAAAAAAAAAAATCCCGCCCTGGGGCTGGGAAAGTGGCTCAGTGGTAGAGCGCTTGCCTTGCATGCTCGAGGCCCTGGGTTTGATTCCTCAGCCCCACATAAGCAAAAAGAAAAAAGCCAGAAGTGGCACTGTGGCTCAAGTGGTAGAGTGCTAGCCTTGAGCTGAAGAACTGAGGGACAGCGCCCAGGCCCAGAGTTCAGGCCCCACGACCCGACCAAAAAAAAAAAAAAAAATCCCGCCCTGGCAGGAAAGTCCATGAGACTCTTACCTCCAATAAACCACTAGAAAACCAGAAGTAGCACTGTGGCTCAAGCAGTAGAGCACTCACCTTATGCTGAAGAGTGCAGGGACAGAGCCCAAGCCCAGAGTTCAAGCCCCACAACCGACAAAAAAAAAAGGAAACTAAGTTGGGCACTGATGGCTCATGCCTATAATCCTAGCTACTTGGGAAGCAAGACTAGAAAATTTATGGTTCCTTTTCAAGAAAGAGCTGGGTGTGATGGCACATGTCTATTATCCTAGCTATACATAGATGAATCCTACCAAGGCACTTGCCCAGGATTAAAATGAGATCCTATCTCCAAAATAACTGTCAAAAATCAGGGCTGGATTAGAAAGAATAATATCATGTCATTTGCAGGAAACTGGATAGACCTAGAACAAATCATGTTAAGTGAGGTAAGTCTAGCTCAGAGAGACAAATGGAATAGTTTTCTCTCATATGCTGAAGCTAGATCTAAAATACATAGGGATGTGATAAATGATACAGGACTGCAGGCATTCACACACAGTGAGACCAAAGGAGGATACTCTTAGGAGAGGAAAACAAAAGTGCAATGCCTATGTGCCTCTGATCTCACACAATAGTATTTATTTTTTTTTTTGGGGGGGGGTCCAGTTGTGGGGCCTGAACTCTGGGCTTGGGCGCTGTCCCTCAGCTCTTCAGCTCAAGGCTAGTGCTCTACCACTTGAGCTACAACGCCACTTCTGGCTTTTTTCTTTTTGCTTATGTGGTGCTGAGGAATCGAACCCAGGGCCTCAGGCATGCAAGGCAAGCGTTCTACCACTGAGCCACCTTCCCAGCCCCAACAATAGTATTTATTGAAACGAATCCTAGGAAATGGAAACAAGAGGTTTTTTCTTTATTGCTGTTTTAGTTTTCTTTTCATTTTGTCTTATTTGTTCATTTATATGTCGTTGAGTGTGTAAGGGGAGACACTGAAATGGAGGGAGAAAGGCTGAACAAATGTAACAGTGATACTCACTAGACACTCTGTTGAAAATGAACTATACAACTTGTGGATGGGGATAGAAGGAAAAAAACTGGGAGAGAGCAAGTGAAGGGGTGACACTGTCCAAGAAGAAATGTACTCTATCTGACTTATGTAACTGTAACCCCTCTGTAAACCACCTTTATAATAACAATTAAAATCAGGGGTGGAGATGTAGATCAGTGGTAAGAGCCCTACCTAGCAAGCGTAAAGATCCAAGTTCAACTCAGTACTGTCAAAAAAAGAAAAAGAAAAAAACTAGCTATGAAAGCAGCACTAACTCACTCATTTAACAAGTACTCTAACCTAGTTGGGTACCTATTCCAGTGAGATCTTCCAGCTAAGCTCACACTTGAAGGCTGAGTGGAACTGCCAGGATGGACCTAAGGAAACTATACCAGGCTGAGGCCTGCAGGAGAGGTGGCATGGCTGCTTAGAGCCACTGCCCGCCACTCAGGTTGGCTGGAGCAGGAAGTATGGGCGGGGGGAGGGGGGAAGCAAAGACAGATTGAAAGCTGCCTCAAAATTATCAATAATTATCAATATTTCCATTCCTAGGCATCTGGCTATCTTATTTTCTGTTAAATATAGAACACATGTTTTTCATTTCCTTGTGAAATCTATTAGCCAACAAGTACTGATTGCAGTGGAAGGAAGAGTAGCAGGTGTTAAGGATACAGATCCAAGTGTCAGCCTGCCACCTGCACAGGAAGCAGTTTAGATAATTCAGAGAGCCATGAGAGGAGCTAAGGAGTTCTGGAGGAATGAAGGTACAGACCACAGGTACTGATCACTGCTCTCCCTAGTATCCAACCTCACTTTCTCCTCCCTACCCCCTCACCAGTTCAAGCCCAGGGCTTGAACTCTGGGCCTGGGCACTGTCCTTGAGCTTTTGTGATCAAGGTTAGCACTCAAACAGTTTGAGCCACAGCTCCACTTCTGGTTTTCTGTTGGTTAAATAGAGATAAGAGTCTCACAGACCTTCCTGCTTGGGCTGGCTTTGAACTAGGATCCTCCAGATCTCAGCCTCCTAAGTAGCTAGGATTCCAAGTGAGAGCCACCAGTACCTCGCTGAATTTTACTTTTTATACTTTGGTTGTATTTGATTTTGTTCTGTTATAATGTAGTGTTTTTACTCATGTAGTTAAAAGTAAATAATTATGTCTTACTACACAGTTTTCCTTACAACACTCTGCCATTTTATTCTGGAGGAAATGGGTTCCTGCTAACACTTACCTGTTTCAGGCAGTTACTGACACAGCTAAGCCCAGCTGCCCAACCAAATACTGAAAACCACCTATGCTTAGATGACCTCATGCACACCCTTTCCTCTGGAATTATCATATCATTTGAATCTGAGGTAATGTAAGAGGACCTGTGCAACAATATATTCAGTCTTACCAGTATGTTATTTCCAGCTTCTGGGTAGTGATTCTCTGTGAACTTCAAATCACCAAGGAATCCAAACATTGGTGTCTTTCAGCACGTAGAGTGTTTCACTGGCCTCTGCTGAGCTGATGTCTTTCAGTTCTCCATCTGACTCTGTTTCATCTTATCTGGCATGGATATCTTCAAGAAGCAGAAGTAGAAAGGATATCAAAATGCTGACTTGTCTAAGAGGCCCAGAAAAAACAGCAATCAACCCAAGGGTCTCCAGCACTGAGTTAACCAGGAAGTAGATAGGCACGCAAGAGCCACAGATGTCCCCATATTTAAAAGTCACACAGCGTACTATCTGAAAATATTAAGCACTGAAAGATTTAAGAAGAGTCAGCATAAAAAAACTTTCAGATTCTGTTTTCACTGTGAGATTTCAGACCCAAAAAGATCTAACTAGACTAAGATGACAGATATGAACCCCTCTGACCACTCTGAGGTTTTTCATGAAGAAGGTAAAAGCTGACACCTCTCTGCTGCTCATTCTAGAGATGAATGAGCTTTGGCTCTGTCTCCTAGGCCAGGTACAAGTCTTATAAGAAAGAGCAAACAGTGCCAGAGAGATAAAGTAGATCCTAAGAGCAGTAGGTGGCACAGATGCAAACACAGTTTTGTGCCAAATGTATAATTATTGCTTGCTTCCAAGGTGATGATTTCATTTCTGTAGGCCCACTGCTATTTTTAATCCTGTGGCTCTTAGCTATCATGTGTCAAAGTGACACGTTGCTTTGTCAACTTCTTCTCTATGGAATAAATAGGCACTTGCCCTTTTTCCCAGGGGAAAAGCACTGAAAATGCTTGAATCTGAGTTCTGGGCCTTTGTGCCAAAGTTTCTAAGAAAGAGTTCTAACTGAAAGCTGGATATGTTTCAACATTAGCTCAAACCACATGTCCAAAACTGGACTTGTCCCCAACTCCTACCCCTGGCTTCCTTCCTCTTGATTTCTTCTTTGTCAGATTACCTCATCTGACAAATGGGTGACTGCACCCATCTCCAATGTGTCTTTCTCTTCCATCTACATAAGCTTCAAATCATCATACTGTCGGGCTTTCCCTTAGTAGGAACACAGCTTCTTGAAAAATAACTCCAGCTTATCCTTCAAGACCCAGGGCCTTGGTCCATTGGTCCAAGTCTTGGTCCAAAGGCCAGTCCTTAGCCTGTCACTTTGTGTTAAAACCTTTAACAAATGCCACCGAATCTAGAATAACAGAGCTCCTGTGGACCTCCCATCGTACACTATGTTTATCCTTCCCTTCCAGAAGCTAGAAGCCAGGGGGTGCTTCTAGCTGATTGCACTAAATAATTTCCAGCTTCCCACAATGGTACGTGATTTAGTTCCAGTACCCCTGATGTTTTATGTCATTTCTCCTTCGACTGAATTAGGCGTAGGGTAGAGACTAACGTCTGGGTCAGCTCTGGCTCCCCTATACCCAACACAGAGCCTGACTCAGGGCAGATGCTTAATAAATGCTAATAAATGAATGAAGCCTCTGAAGTTATTCTCTCCTTAAAATCTTTTAGTGGGACTCTTATTAGCAGACTGAGCAGTCTGGGTCCCTGCCAGGAAGGAGAAAAACCGAAGAGAAAGAAAAGAAGCATAGCCAATGTGATCCAAGCAATGGAAAATAGGTTTTGCGGGTGAAGTGAAAGCAGCCCAGGCTGTTTTGCCTGGAGAAGAGAAGATGAGGCCTAAATGGATTCCGGCTTTAAGTACAGAAAAGGTTCTCATGAGAAAATCTTGATCTCATCCTCCCTTTATAATCAGAAGGAACTTTTCCATATTCATGGAAAATGGAACAATAAGAACTGGCTTAAGCGACGGCCAGAGGGATTTAAACTGAAGAGAAAGAAGAGCCAAACTAGGCACTTCTCCAGAGATACTGTACTGTTGTTTTTTGGCAAGTGAACTGGAGTGGTCTTGCTTAGCACTTCTGCTGAAGGCTGCACAGAAGGAAACAGATACACTGCACTGGGCCTGTTCACTGTGGAAGGAGGTCAGGGAAGACACAAGTCAGATTCTTCTGTCAAGCCACTGACTTCTTATAGACCCTTTTCCTGCGGGCACTTTTTTTTGTGGTGTCATGCTTTGCAATCTTGTGATGGAGTAATCTAGCATTTCCAAGTTTCCTGCTGGGGCACAGAATGAGAAAATACAACAAGGTCAGAGTAAGAATGTGGAAAAATAGCTCTAATGAATATGCTTTCTATAAAAATTGTGCCAAATGGAGCATTCATGCCATTGCTAATATTGCTATTAAAGCTAACATCGAACACCTACTACATGCCAGGCACTGTGCTATTTAATATTTTAACTCAGTTTTCGTAACAACTTCATGAGGTAGGGAATATTCATATACCCATTTTACAGATGATAGAACTGAGATGAGGCACCCAGCTAGCCAATGGAAGGACAGTCGCAGGACATTAACCTAGACAGTCTAACTCTAGAGTCTATACCCTACCTATCATCTCCCTAGAGAGAAGCTGCTGTCTGACTCCACCTTCATGTTCTCTGCCACTACACAAATCAAGAAAAGTAAAGCAATACATGACAGGCAGCCTCTGAAGTGAACCAAAACCTGTTCAAGAGAAGGAGGCTGAGCCTGAGGATCTCCTAACTACTTAGGAGGTTGAGATTTGAGAACTGAAGTTTGAAGCCAGCCCAGTAGGAAAGTCTGTGAAACTCTTATGTCCAATTAAACACCAAAAATCAGAAGTAGAGTTGTGGCTCAAGTGGTAGAATGTTAGCCTTGAGCACAAAAGCTGAGAGCAGTACCCAGTCCCTGAGTTCAAGCCCCAAGACCAGAACAAAAAACAAAGCAATACTGGAAGGGGAGATGTGGCTCATGTGGTAGAGTATCTGCTTTGAATGACAATTCAAAGCTAAAGGACAACCCAGCCCTGAGTTCAAGCCCCAATACCAACACACACACACACACACACACAAATAGGGGATATATAATTTGTATATTACAGAGACTCTTAGGATTAAACAAATTATAGTCTGTCTGTTGCAAATCACAAAGTATACATCTGAAAATGCTAGTGTTCTCCACAATCTGCCATTTCAGCTTATTTTCCTTCCTACAAAGTCTCCTTCCTCTCCTTGCAATAGACTGCACACACACACACACACACACACACACACACACACACACACACACACACACACACACACACACACCGCTGCATTTCTGCCTCCAGACCAGGACTCAAACTGCTGCTTCTCCCAGGAATGAACTCTCTCCAAATGCCCCACCATCAGGAATTCTCTGGTCAGGCTGGGGATTGATTTCTCCTTCTCCCACACTCCCACTTTGTTTACATTCCTTACTACATTTACCAGAGTCAGTCTGATTTCAGTTATTTATGTACTTATCTGTCTTCCCAACGACACTGGAGGGAGAAGGCTTGAAAGAAGACAATTACTTACAGGAGAGCAGGAAATGTGTTGTTGTCCTCTGTGTGTATTTCTCAATACCAGAGGCCTGTACATAGCACAAGCTCAATAATGTGCTTATTGAATTGAATCTTTCTACCTTAGACTGGGAATTTTGATGGAAAGATCCTGGACCTGAATTTTTTTTCTAAAACTATGCATTTGCTGCCTGACAATAAACAGGCAATTTTTGTGGTGGTGCATGCTAGGTAAGTACTCTACCTCTAAGCTATTGCTCTAGCCCAGCAAGCAAGTTATGAAGTATACTCATATTCCTAACCTAAGATCTACCAATACTCCATGTAGACCTGTTTCATTCCTTTTGTCCATTATTCCAACATGCTATGGACTCCTCTTGGGGACATCTCCCAACATACAGGATGGCTCTCACTCACAGAGGGTCTGGAAGCAAGCTCTTTGGAAAATGGTTCCACTCCACTGAGTACAAGATGATGGCCTTAAAACTGTACTAAAAATCAGAATTGTGAGATCTGAAAACAGATTTTAATGATTTCTATTTGCTCTGGTTACTGAGTCTATAAAATAGTTTAAAGTACTTAAAACAGTGAGTGGCACACAGTAAGCACTCACTAAATGTTAGATATTATATTAGCACTGTACATCTGGGCATAGGGATGTACATCTGTAGTTTCAGCTACTTGGGAGGCTTAGGCAAGAGGACTGCTTGAGCTCAGTAATTGGAGTACAGACTGGACAACACAGAGAGACCACACCTCAAAACATTTAAAAAAATAAACTTTTGAAATTATATTTAAAAACCCAAAGGCAGTAAACTGGGGAAAACAAAGCAAAACAAAATGAAAAAAAACCCAACAATCAGAGTTAGGACTTCCAGAGCTATTCCTACTCTATATAATAATTATACTCTGTATAATCTCCATCAAGCCCTTTCCCTTCTCTGGGTCTTTCCTAGAAAGAAATTGAAGGTAGTAGGACTAGATGGTTCCTCAGCTCCTTCTGCCTTCAACAGTGTATACTTTCTTATGAATGATAAAGAACTTCCTCTTCCATAAGTTGGAGCTATTGGCAAGGAAAAATTTGAATTTTTAGCTGCTGATCTAGATGGGAGGGATTACTGTTGGCCAAGGACAGAGTAACTGATTAGTCAGCCACCTGTGAGCTTTCTCTTGCATGAAGTATAACACAGACTGTGTAGATCCATGAACAGAGTGCAAGTTCCCTCCCAAAAAAACTCACAACCAAGGGAAGACAAGGCCTGAAAATGACATCAGCGATGAATATTGGCTTGGGTAGAATTCCTGCACTTGGATGCCTGTTATTAGGTCATTAGTAGTGTAAATGAGGGCCTTCCTCAGCTACAAAGAGAAGGAACACCAAGTCCCCTTTTAAAACCTGACAGCTTATAAAACAAAGCAAGTAAATAAAAAAAAGTCATTGACTCATTTAACCACAAACACTGCAGAGGACTACTGTGTGACTAGCTATATGACAGGAGCAAGAAGAATAAAACAGACACAGTCCCTTGCTACTAATGTACTCAGAGTACATATGGGGGTGATATACCTAAAGCAGGCCATGATGAGAGTGCTATTATGAGTTTGGTCTCTGCTACAGAGAGGAAGAGGAGTAACTGATCCAGTAATCATCTTAGCAGGAGAATGAAGCCAAAGAGGCCTCATAAAAGATGAGGAAGCTAGGCACTAATGGATT